TAAGCTCAACCCCAAAATATGCTTAGATTTTGAAATGAGTTTTCAGGGTAGAATTTAAATACTGAAATTAAGGTTTTCGGAATTTCAAAACAATACAGGTATTTCAAACTTGATTCAAACAATACAATTCAACACTTATACATGAATGTAAACTTGTTTTAGTGAATGCATATCAACGTTTGCAATATGACCAAATGCTTTGCAATGCATATGATGACATGACAGTTTTAGTATTTAAAACACCCGGGGTGTTACAGTGTGTCGGCGTTAAGTGACCCCGCGCCGAGCTACTGGGCCACGATGTGTTGTTGGGCCGCCTGGGCCGCGCGTCGGATGGTGCCCATAGCTCGGCGCTCAGTCCAGCCGCGCCGAGGTTGGGCCCGTGGCGTGGGCTGACAGGACGCCGACGTCTCGGACCACACGCGCCACCGTGTAGCCGTCGACCAGGGTCGTCCGTGACGTGGCAATACCTTAGCGTCGTGTCAGTCGACGCCGATCCTCATACCTCGACGTCATGTTCTAAGACGTCTAAAAATAGTCTATTTTTAGAAAACGTTTTGACGTAGATTTTTTTGTAAAAAATATTTTCAAAAGGGACCAAAATACAAAAATTTCACGATCCGGTGTCGTGCTTGCGAGGAACGAACGAACCTGGACAGCTGGTCAGCTCAGAGGCGTACGGTGACATAGGGCCAGGGCCCTGCTCATGCATGCATCCAGTCTCGCCGTGACTGTTCCCGTGTCCCGGCACGGAGCCCCCCTGAGGGCTGAGGCTGTGGACAGCAGTAGCGTACCAGCACGCGCGCGCGCGCGCGGCACTTGTGTACTGCAGGCTTCGATCCGCAGCTGCTGTAGCCTGTAGCTGCCGGTTGACACTGTAAGGGCTCCTCAGGAACAAGGAGGAAAACTCAGGGATGGAAACCCCACTAAGAACTAAGATAATAATTAAAATAATATTTCTATGGATTATCGATCCATAAAAAAGTCCGAGATCCCGAAAGAATTGGAGTTTCTAATTAGTCAAAAAAAAAAGTCCGATCGATTGCTAAGTGCAATAATCATCGATAGTTTTGGTCTACATACTATGCAGTTTTACAACTTGATTATCGATAACAATAGTAGTTGTTGCTCGATCATTGATGACGTCCACCCTCCCATCCGTCCGTCCGGCTAGGATTGATTGGCAGCTGATGACGCAGCTCCAGTACTGTACGTACCAGTAGAACAGTAGCGTGCCAGTCGTGACGGATATGGCGCGACCACAGTACAGGTTGCTTGACTGCTACTGCTGGTTTGTTTTGCTATGCTATATAGGTTAGGTTATGCGTGCCTCACTATCACGGCCGACTGGTCGCTGCCTTGCACGGCGACGGACAGTCGGACACACACAGTACACCGAGTTCTTGGTTGATCTTTCGCTCGACACTGCAAGCACACACACACACGCATGGTCTTCTGTACACTGGTAGCAGCTTGGTTGCTTTCAGAATGTAGTACTCTTATCGTCACATCGCCGCTCATAAATGGCGGTGCAGCTACTGGCTCTCGATCGGTACACGTTTTCTTCATGCTCCTCTCTACATCATCTTCACAAATGTTGTAATGATCGACAGGGAGAGATCAAGGAGACGTTTGAATGCGTCTCAACAAGTCTCGCAACCACACGTACAGGTACAGGTGTGCTACTGCAGCTCTAGTAAATGTGCCATGGAAGAGGTGGTTACGTGCTGTTTTCGCGCACACCAGACGGCACTGAAACGCATCGACATTAGAAAGTGATTTTTCTCTTGATAGGCGCCCAACGGTCGATGTTACATACCAGAGTCCAGAGTCGCCGTGTAGTACAGCGATGTGGCGCATGTATCATCGGCATCAACGCATTATTTTCTTCTGACGCCGTGTTTAGTTTGGGAAGTTTGGAATTTGGGCTACTGTAATATTTTCGTTTTTATTTGACAATTAGTGTTCAATCATAGACTAATTAGGTTCAAAACGTTCGTCTCGCAATTTCCAACCAAACTGTGTAATTAGTTTTTTTCGTCTACATTTAATACTCTATGTATGTATCGTAAGATTTGATGTGATGGGTACTATAACACTTTTTTAGATTTTTGGGTGATAACTAAACATGCGCTGAAGCATCCGGTCGATCGCCTCGAACTGACTGAACATGTAGTACGTTGAAAGTACTCCTATTCGGTTACGCAGCTCAATCGATCGATCACTCCAACGTTCGTGCACACAGCTCTGAACTCCCCGGGTGTTATTCGTACATCTCTTTCTGAGCAAAAGCTTAACGAGACGGTAGCCCATCATAAACCAAACGCGACTGACAATAAATACAAGCAGCAGTCAGTCGTTCTCTCCGTTGCCCTGCTCGTAAATAAACTGAGACCAGAGTGGTTGCCTGGCCCAATCACACAAGGCGCCCTCCACCTCAAGCCGTTAGTAATAAGAGGATTAACGGTAACCAGTTTTATCCTAAATGGTAGCAAGACCAAGTACATTATTTCACTAAAAAAAAGACCAAGTACAATAATAATCTTCTAACTAAGTTAGTCAGAGTTTTTACTAATGTGGAGCAGGAAAGGAAGAAAAGCGAAGAACTTGAATTTCACGTAAGCACAAGCTGGTCTATGCAGCGACGAGCCTCAATAACATACGAATTTGAAGAGGAATAGAAAACAAAATGTGGGATATGGGTAAAAAGTGGTAGACACAATAATAATGATAAATTTTTTTTTGTAGATTTTCAGACACGATTGACTTGAACGTCCACCTCTATAAATAATTTTCAGATATGAGCATTTTTCGAAGGCCAGACCGCCAGATCATTATAACTTATCTCTTATAAAATGGTTTATAGTCAAACACTTTGGCTTTGTTAGAGCATCTCCAAGAGTTTTCTTAAGCTCCCTCTCTAAGTCCTCACTTGAAGAGTCGTTCCAATAAAAATCATTATCTATATATTTTCTTCCTCTAACAACTTTATCTATATCTTGTGTGCACTCTAGAGAACTAGCCCGCTCTCTATATTCGGCTAGCAAGAAATTAGAAATAAAGAATAACAATATTTAGAGATGTAACTAAAGAAACGGTTGGAGGATATGTTTTCACCAACATATCTATTTCTATCGATACGGAAAGATATAAATCCTATCAATATAGAAGGATGTAAAGAGCTTTTTTTAGAGTTGCTCCAAATGTAACAGTTGGTCACGTGTCGTTTAACCATGCATATTCTAAATTCTAAACGGTACATAGCCACTCCATTTTTTTCTAAATTATAAGATGTTTTAGTTTTTGTAAATACATTGCTTTTACTATGTATTTAGACATGGCTCTCGTTCGGTTTGCTGAATCTTGGCTGAAAAACATTGTTTTGGTTGAAATGTTGTGAGAGAAAAATACTATTCCTGCTGAAAAAAGAAGCCAAACAAACCGGCTATGGGATAAGCCGAACGAGAAGTGTATATTTAAGTGTACAGTGAGAACTATCTATCTTAAAAAAGTCAAAATGTCTCGTAACATGAATGGCCTTGTTACTTTATGTTTAAGTATTATCTAAGCTAAACAGTCGTCTAAACGGACAAAACGACTATTTAAATAGGATAAACCACGCGTCTCAATAGCGTTAAACAGGCTAAAAGATCCTTTAGGCGAACAGTGAATGCATCGCGGCACTGAATCTGAATGTGCAGCTGCACCGAAAAGCGAGAAGACCGCGCACGGGTAATGCAACCAGGACGAGAGGGAGGATCAGAATCAGATGAAGAACATGATCGCTGCCGTTTGATCGAACGCTAGCTGCTCAGGGCAGGACAGGAGAACCGAGACTGGGATGTGCTCCACGCCGACGCAGGCGGGGCGGGGCGGGGCAGCGGGTGATGGGGCTCGTGGGATTTGTGCGTGCGGATCACTCGGCCGGCCGATCCCCGCGACCCTGCCTGCCTGCTTGGCCGAGCGCCGTGGGTGTTTACGTTTGTGGGGACGGACTGGAGAACTGCTACGCGGCCCTCGTGTCAGAGTCAGACGAAGCCCGCCGGTCGCCGGTACGTGTTCTTTTCTCCTTCACTGCCCGCCTTCATGCCACCGGTCTCGGCAACAGCCCGGCTGTCCCTCTTCTTCCTTGCTTTCAGGAACAAGAAGAAGATAGAAGAGGGAGGTTGCCATCGGCGCATTGAAGAGGCTCATCAATGCTTGGTCGACGGTGCCGTGATAGAGTGATAGCAACGCCATATCTCGTGGGTCTCGCGTAACGGTTTTCAGATGCGTTTCGTCGTGGGTTTCATTTCATTTCATCGGAGATCGGAGCCACCGCCTGGAAGTATCGTGGGACGTGGTCTAGGGCGCACCAGGAGGATTTTCCGGTCGAAAGATACATGTTTCTTCAGCAGTATTTTTATGGAAAGAACAATATTTTCCCTCGATATAAATCAGCATCAGCCAAATTTCAGCGAATCTATCAGCGCCAAGAAGAAAATTTTACAGCTCGCACGTGCCGCTGACACCTGAAGAAGCAACAACCACGTTTCACATGAGATACTTGTGAAGTTTGCTCGTTTTCGAGACTTATCGTGTTTTTTAATGAAAAAAACAAACACGATACCAGTGCTATATTCGTTTCACATGAGATACACCTGAAGACTTGTAATATCAGCATGTATGCTATTATATTGTGTTACGGTCTTTTTACTATACATTCATGATAGCGGTGCTATATTCATTTCTGGCAATACTGTTCTTGATTTCATTTCCGTGAAAATAAAATAAAACTAAAACAATTAGGCCTCTTCGATCGTTCCCTATCAAAAATATCAACAGAAACTGAGGTCCAACACTTGCTCCGTCGCTACATGATTGACGTGGATGCGTACAGCACTAAACTCCATGGTACAACAATCACGCTTGAATCATCTGAAAGGGAAAAGATGTCTACAGTTGCCTAGTCTGCAAAACTGAACATTCTTGTCTTTCAACCCTACTTCACCTATCACAAGTCATGATATCTTAGCAGCATCAGCTTTGCTCAATTCTGTGTCTTCGCAGTTCAGAAGCTTATGCAGCGGGAGAACAAGTGGTGACAGCGCCGCCAGCACGATGCAGAGCAGCGCTGCAATCCCAGCCCACCAGGCAAAATGTGGAATCCCAAGCATAAGCTCATCGCAAACTGCACAAAAAAAATCAGATATCAGTGACCTAATCAAGTGTGCCTCTTAGGCTGTTGCATCATAAAAGCCTGTAGAGCAGGGCAGGGCAGGGCAGGCGATAGAAATTGAAGCATGAGCAAGGCAAAGGACACGTGGCTAATTTGTCATTTTCAGAAAGCAAGCATGGCACTTGTTTGAAGGAACCCTTTAGTTATCTTATCTATAAAACACGGCAATCATAAAGAGGATGGTAAACCAGTTGTAGTTCCAAATAACTGAATGCACACAAGTGAAACCCATTAATCCACCAGAAAAATGTACCGGAAGCTCAATAGAACATCGCACGATCTGTGTAGTACACAGAAATTTGTTCTTATTGTATATAGTATTTTACAATGAACTGCTACTGATGTGATGAAAACAAGTCCTTGAGGTCTAAATGAAATGTTTAACATCTCCAGGTTCACTCTGGATAGATGGAATACCAAGCTTCTTAACTCTTAAGCTACAAGTATATGATTTTTTTTAACAAAAAACAAGTAGATGCTTAGTATTTTAGTATTACACAGGAACAGCAGAAATTCATGACAAATGCATTGGAACACCCAAAACCCAACCAATCATTCACACAGTATCCATTAGTAGGACCAAGGAGGGCATGCAAAAAAAAGGTATTTGCATCAATGAATCAGGGAAGTCCAGAGTAAAAAAACATAGGAATTGCTAGGTAGTACTGCAGTATTAGGCTGCCTTTTCTTAGCAAAGCAGTAAGAACCTCAGCTTTTCAAATTTAAAGTCATGAATCAGCCTATTAGGATTCCAAATAATCTTTCCAAAGCTTCCAGGTCCTAGATAAACTGTGTATAACAAGCATCAAGTATTGATGAACCAAATTTGGAAATGCATAATGCTTGATGCGGCTCAAAGGGTTGATTCTTCCTATGGTTTTGCACAGGAATGCCAAGAGATTCACACAACTCATACATAGACTTGATAAAGTTCGTAACTTGTTTGACTAGCTTGATCTCTGATATCATAAAGGAGGACTGGAATGAATTATAGAGAAACAATTCTACCGCACCAATGTTAAAAAGTGCAAGCTCCCTCTCTGTCACATTTGGCTTTGCCACCACGCCCTCAGGCTCCACAGTGACAAGAACATAAACCTGAAATAGATCACATAGAGCTGTTAAAAAAAACTGAATGCCATTGAGATTCTGCAGGCAATGAACAAATTCAGCTCAAATGGCTGATCAACATTCAACATTAACCGGGTTGCTGCTCTCCGCCTTGAAAATTATCTTCTCCGTGTTGAGCAGCCTCCTGTTCTTACTGCTCCAATCGTCCACGAGCCGAATGGAAAAGCTCGACGGTATCTACAGACACAAGCACAACCGTCAGAGATACGAACATGCTGCAACGGTGAAACTACAATCCCTACACGTTTTCTGAAAAATCGATGTTCTCACGGGAAGGGTACTGGTCATACGGAGGCCGGGTAGGAGATCTTGACTTCGTACCACGCGGACGGGCGCAGCCCGTCGATCCTGTAGACCCGGCGGCCGTGGAGCAGCGGCATGGTCTCGGCCACAAGCTCCTCGCCGACGCTAAGCGCCATCGCCGATTCGTTCCCCACGCTGCAGGGGGGCCGCACGGAGCTGTCAGGACTGAGGAGAGGAGTGGAAGTGGAACAGAGAAGCGGGGCGGATCAAGGCGGGGAAACGAGGGGGCGTACCCGTTTGCCATGGAGGGGAGCAGCAGGAGCGCCGGGACGAGGACGAGGCGGGCGCGGCATAGCGAGGCGAGCGGCCGCGGCGGAGACGGCATGCCCGATGATGATTCAGTGCGACGACGACGGCGGAGAACGGCGAGACGCGTCGGGTCGTCGGGAGAGGAGAGCTGGTGGTGTGGTGGCCTTGCGGGTGGAGGTTAGATGGGCCTTCAAAGTTCAAACAGGCCGTTGATGGGTTACCGGCACTACTGATGTCGTTTGGGGTTGGTGGACCTCTGCCTCTAACAAATGGTTGGGCTGTTTGGATCGGTTTTCTGTAAACAAATGGGCCTCTCTGCCTCTAACAAATTGTTGTATTTACTATTGTTTACTGCAGACTCCTCTAAAAAAAAAAACAAAGAGGGCTAATTTAGAAGAAGTGGGAGGCACACCCAGGGCATGAAGGACTAAATAATTATTTAAATTATTTCCCATGGATTTTCTACCCTGGAAAAAGACAGGAATCCCAAGAGAATTTGAGTTTTCAAAAAGTGTCAGAGTGTTATCGCAGGTATATCGTATACCTGGTGATGGATTAAGAGCCAAATCCAATAAGCAGTCCAAATAGTCTCTGTCACTCCGACGGAGAATCCAATCCAATATAAGTCCAACTCCATGCTAATCCAAATTCAATCAAATTATCCAAGCATGTCACGCCTTTAGTCAGGCTGCAGTACTCCCCGCATGAGTTTTGCTATTCGCCTAACACGAGCAGCCATGCAATGCACCATGCTAAAGGCCATTTTACATGTAACCAAAGATTGGTTGTGCATCTCAGTATTTGGCTAATCAAGAACCTACCAGAGACGATTCTTCCCATGTAAAAATCAGCAAAACCCCGAGTGTCGAAGTTTTTTTGTTTTGTTAAGACAGTTTTGTATAATTGCAACCTGGTGATGGACTAAGAGCCAAACCAATAAGCAGCACAGATAGTCTCTGTCACTCCGACGGAGAATCCAATCCAATATAGTCCAACTCCATGCTAATCCAAATTCAATCAAATTATCCAAGCATGTCACGCCTTTAGTCAGGCTGCAGTACTTCCCGCATGAGTTTTGCTATTCGCCTAACACGAGCAGCCATGCAATGCACCATGCTAAAGGCCATTTTACATGTAACCAAAGATTGGTTGTGCATCTCAGTATTTGGCTAATCAAGAACCTACCAGAGACAATTAACCCATGTAGAAATCAGCAAAATCCGATGGTTTCTTGACTAAGACAGTTTGCAAATTGCAACCCCAAGCTTCGAGGAACCCGTGAGCACAGAAGGGACGTGTGCCCTGTACATTGCTCCTTGATTCTCTGGTGCGCCACAAGAGGTGAGGTCCGCAGCCGCAGGCCGCAGCGCGTGAAAACGGCGTGAGCAGGGCATGCTGCGACGGTGCGACCATCGAAGGATTCGTTCAGCCTGTGCTTTTCCAGATTTTGCTCATCGGAGCCCTCCCGTAGTCCCGTGAGAATGCAGGAGAGAGCACGCGGTGGGATTTCCCACCTGTAGTGTAGGCGTCGGATACCCCGGCAGTTCTGCAGCGTCGGGCGTCTCATTCTACTGCAGGGTGAGCCAGATTGCCAGGCATGAGGATTGAGGGCAGCGCGGCAGCAGACGTGGCGTCGCGATAGCCGATATTCGTCGGACAAAATTGAAATTGCGGCTGCATCCCAAAAAAAAGCATGCATCTCCTCGTCGCAGTTAATGAACGTAACACTCCTGTTTTCTTTCGGAATTAATATTTTTTTCCAATACAAGAGGCGCAGCAGCAGCAGCCGAACGAGAAAAGCGAAGATTAGCCACCAAGTCCACCACAAGATAGCAGCACAGAGGGAAGTCAGTTTTTTCTAATAAAAAATGAAGAAGAAGAAAAAAGGAACAGCGTAGCAAGGGAGTGGGAACAGCGAGGAGGTCGTCGCCTCGTCGGGGGTGTGCAGGCGTGCACTAGCGGGGAGTGAGTCCTGTCTTCTCTTCTGGCCACTGTCCCCGCAGCAGCGCAAGTTGCGCGTCTCTTTTTGCCGCCAAAAAAGAAGAAAAAAGGGAGGAGGCGCTTCCTTTGCGGTGGTGCTGCCCCCGTTCACGGCCAGTGAGAGCTCAGCCAGATACGGTCACACGGATACAGGGACGTGGAAGAAGTGAAAGTTGCTTTCGGCGCCCGGGTTCCAATCCTTTGCTTGCCGCAAGGGACGCTTTGCTAGCGTGTTCCAGGATCACATCACACACAATGCCGTGCCGAAACGTCGAGAGAAGAAGGCCAGATCTCGAAGCAGCTCGTGTACGGTACGGTGCACATTTTCTCCGCTGAAACTTTTTTTTCCCGCGATCGGGTGTATTATACCCGTATTTCTCCGCTGAAACCTGTAGCAGCAAACAAAGAGGTCGCCTCGCCCCCCACGTTCCCGTTTCGTGCACGGCGTGCGCGCGGAGCCTCGGTCCTCGGACCTCGTAATCATAGGTTCGATTCCCTCCGTTTCTCGCCCGCCCCCGCCACGATTCCGGCGCTCACATGGAAAGGCAAGGACAAACACTGTGCAATCGCCGTGTTTCCTCGCACGCCAAATTTGGCGCAGCAGTTACGTACGTTCCCCGAGTGCGAGTAGGGAAGCGTTTCGTGCTTTCTTGCACGGCTGGGGTCCGTGCGGTGCGGATTGCGTAGCGCAGGGACGATACGCAGATTCCGCAGTCCGTCTCCGTCCGTCCGGTGCGGCGGTGCGTACTTCGGCATCAAGTGGGCTGGGACTGCAGCGGACGATTCTGAACTGAACTCGATGGATCGGACTCACTCAACTGGTCCGGACAAATTGACCAATCGCCGTCGCTGGTCATTGCAAGCCCTCGACCAGGACCAATTCAAGCGAAGCTTGCTGCCTGGACCGGGCTGCGCCACCGCCCACCGCCTCACCGGATGGGACGCAGCAGCCAACACGGTCCTTTCTCATGATTCTTAGTTTGGGGGAAAAAAACAATAATGCATTAGCCCGTTATAAGTGGCAGTGCACACTTCTGTGCTCCAGCGCTAAGAAGCACTTGTAGTGTTTGGCTGGCTTAGTGCAGCCTTATTAGCCCAAACACAACCCAAAACTTCGAATGCTCCGTGCCTATGTCATGCCATGTCATTCTATGTTATAATAATCTCACTTTAGAAACTATTGTTCCTAGCGCACCATATCTATTCATAGTGCAAACAATTAACTACTCACTTAGGACCTATTTGGTTGCTCTAGTAGATAAATTCTGACCACCGGACACCCAAAATCAATGCCCTGACCAGGTAAACTTGTCGGGGCAAACAACCAACACAACCCCTAGGCATGTTTGGTTACAACAGTGCCTCCTAAAATTCTTGTCACATCGAATGTTTGACACATATATAGAGTATTAAATATAGACTAATTACGAAACTAATTGTACAACTTGCGACTAATTTGCGAGACGAATCTTTTAAGCCTAATTATGCCATGATTTGACAACGTGGTGCTACAATAAACATGTGCTAATGATAGATTAATTAGGCTTAAAAAATCGTCTCGTAAATTAGCCTCCATCTATGTAATTGGTTTTGTAATTAATCTATATTTAATGCTTCTTATTAGTATCTAAACATTCGATGTGACATAAATTTTAGGAGCGACTAAAGAACCAAACACCCTAGTTCTCTCTGTCTATTCACCGACCATGTTTTTCCCAACCCATTTGAAGACAACATATAGACGCATGACTTGGTAATGTTTAGTGCGTAGATTTTGTTTCCCACCAATCATTGATTCGAAAACATATTCTTAATATTCTTATTTTTTAAAGAATTTGCAAGTATTCTAATACAAATCTACACATATCTCTTCCATGTCTCCATCTAAAAGTTTACAAAGTTATTCAATGTCGACAGTTTTGAAAGTTTCACCAAATATTTAAGCTCTTCGGCTGATGGATAAGGCGGCGATGCTGTTTTGTTGTGAGAGAAAAATACGGTACCGTGGCTGATAAGCCGAGTTGATAAATCTCGTTTACCACGCTTATTTTCCATAGAGGTAATATTGTTTCTCACAATTACCACATGTAAATTTTGGATTGTCTAAACCTTTTAGTATCGTATTTTAGTCTATGCTGAATAGCTAAACTAAGAAATACGGTAAATTTCAACCGGCGGACAGCTGTTTCCGTGTAGATGGTATTATTTTTGACCTTTTTGCTCCTGTAATATTAAGAAACATGTCTTTATAACTAAATTTTGGCTTATGTTGCTGTTTATGCTGATTTATTGTGAGAGAAAAATACTGTTTATCAACTGAAAAGTACTGTTAAAGTAGTGTTGCAGAAGAGAACAGGGCTATCACTTTATATAATCCGGCTTGCATCGATTGAAATCCATCATAAGCCAGTTGGGGCCTTAATGCGATGTTGACCACGTCTATCTTTCTTTTTTTTCACCCCTATTTAATAAAGGGCCTTCTATCTCTCCATCTCTATTTACAGTTTTGACTAGACAGAGAAGCCTTTAACATAAAATCAGTTTCGGTGAGAAATCTCATGATGTTGTTTTTAAGATTATCATATCATATAGAATAAAATTAAACATGATCAAACAAACCACTCTCAATAAAAAGTTTCATTATATGATTTTATAGGCATTTAATTTCATGATGACTTATAAAGAGTTGGTAACCGTGCTAAGAGAGTTTCATTTAGATAAAAACTATTTTTTTTCTTAAAACATTACAATATTATAATAAACATCTATATGGCAGCCTATTAAATTAAATATAAATAAAACTGACTAAGACAGGTCTAAAAGGCTAAAACTATGCCTAAGAGGCACACATGCGCACGACGTCGGAGGAACAGCCAAAGCTACACTTGTATACCAGAGAATAAAAATTTATTCCAACCGCTCGGCGCGCCCGTGCTGAAACAAAAGACCAACAAAATCTATCGTGTCAGATAAGCGAACAATGCAAATCCATAAGACCGTGTCAGACCAATAGTTTAGCCTAAACAATGGGAGCGTATCTCAAGGCCACTCAGCCGTCGATCCAATTTTTTATTAACTTTCTTCGTCTGAGGCCTTGTTTAGTTGGGCACCAAGTTGGCGCCGGCCGAATTTGCCACGCACTGTAGCTGCAGTACTTGTTTGTTTTTATTTGGTAATAATTGTCAAACATTGACTAATTTGGCTTAAAACGTTCGTCTCGCAAAGTACAACCAAACTGTGCAATTAGTTTTTAATTTCGTCTACATTTAGTACTCCATACATATACCGTAAATTTGATGTGACGAGAAATCTTTTTTTTTATATAGTGTCAAATTCTGGAATTTGAAGGAACTAAACACCCCCTGATTATCTCACACAAGCGCACCCGCTTCGAAAATCCATTGGTCAACACAGTGCCCCACCGCACGGGATCCCTCGCCCACCCGGAACAGCGGCCACGGCCGGCACGCGCCGCTTTAATCCACGTGGATCCCTCCCGCCCCGCAACTGCAAGGACCCAGCCCATGGGACAACCCGCCCTCCTCACGGCCGCGGCACGAGCCACAAGGTCCATGCACCTAGCCCACGCGGCCTTCCCGCGCCACGATCACGCCGACCCCCCAGACCGCACGGCTTTTCAAAATCAGGGGAAGGTCCAAATTAACATTCGCCAAGAGGGGATTAGCGATTAAAGTAAGCGGGCTTATATGCGATTATTAAACAACTGGTATAATACGCCCCGTCGGCACGTCCCAAGTTAACCTCTCGCCCTCTCGGGCTCGGGCACTTTCCTTCCCCCTTGGTCCGCTCGACCGCCTCCGCCGCTGCCTTGCTCCTCCCTCCGCGCCCACCACGGAGCGCACGCGCGGGCGCAGCCTCCCTCGCGCGCCTCGCCTTCCCACTGCTCTGTCCGCTCGCCCGCGTGCGCCTCCTCCTAGGGTTAGGGCACGCGTCGCGGGGGGACGCGGCGCCTGGCACAATGCGGAGGCCGTCGGGGGCCGGCTCACCGTGCCGCCGCCGCGCGATCCAGGTGCTCGTGGCGGTCTCCCTCGCCTACGCGCTCGCCGTGCTGCTCCTCGAGTCGCCGCTCGTGTCCACGTCCCTGCCCGGGGCGGGGGCGTCCGCCGGGGCGTCGCGGAAGCTCCACCTCGACGGCGCGTGGGAGGGCGCGGGGCGAGCCGCGCCGGCGCGCCCCGCGAAGCAACCGCACAGGGAGACCCTCTCGGCGGACGCGGGGCGGGGACGGGCGCGCCGGCTGGCGGGGATCGTCTCTGGCCTCGAGCTACGCCACCTCAACTCCACCCGCTCCGGCTCGCTCCGCAAGGTCGCCGCCGAGGCCGCCGAGTCAGGGGCCCGCGTGTTCTCGGACCTGGAGGCTCTAGCGACGGCCCTGGCGTCCTCGCGTGATTCGTCAGGGGAGGAGGAGAAGAGCAAGTGCCCGCACTCGATCGTCCTTAGCGGCGACGAGTTCCGGGAGAGGGGGCGGACGGTGGAGCTGCCGTGCGGGCTCACGCTGGGTTCGTATATCACGGTGGCCGCGACGCCGCACCAGGCGCACCCTGAGCGGGATCCTAAGATCACGATGCCCAGGGAGGGGGAAGAGCCGATCATGGTGTCGCAGTTCATGATGGAGCTGCAGGGGCTCAAGACGGTGGACGGCGAGGATCCGCCTAGGATTCTCCACTTCAACCCCCGCCTCCGCGGCGACTGGAGCGGCAAGCCGGTGATCGAGCAGAACACCTGCTACCGCATGCAGTGGGGCACTCCGCTCCGCTGCGAGGGCTGGAGGTCCCGTGCCGACGAGGAGACTGGTCTGCACCCTCCACTGTCACCAGATAAAGTGTTGTTAAGCTACTGATTACATTGGCCCAAGGATTTTATTCTGATTGGATTGTTCTGCAGTGGATGGGTTGGTCAAGTGTGAGAAGTGGATTCAGGATGATGAAGGGCGGTCGGAAGAGTCAAAAACGTCATGGTGGCTGAACCGGCTCATTGGCCGCGCAAAGACCGTCTCCGTTGATTGGCCATACCCATTCGTGGAGGACCGCCTGTTTGTTCTAACTCTCACTGCTGGATTGGAGGGTTACCATGTGAATGTTGATGGACGGCATGTGACATCATTTCCATACCGCACTGTAAGTGGCTCTCGCTTGTACTACATGAATGGGCGGGGAATGGAATTGTAATATTATTAATATTGGTGCACTGCCGCCCGTGTTTGGCACTGTTGTTAACTTTTGTCTCTGGTGGTGCTGGTAGGGATTTGTTCTTGAGGATGCTACTGGCTTATCATTGAATGGGGACCTTGATGTGCAATCAGTGTTCGCGGGGACTCTGCCCACCACACATCCTAGCTTTTCTCCACAGAAACACCTAGAGATGTTACCTAGCTGGCAGGCCCCTCACCTTCCAGACGAACCAGTTGAGATTTTCATCGGTATCCTGTCAGCAGGCAACCATTTTGCTGAGCGTATGGCTGCGAGAAAGACATGGATGTCTGCTGCCCAGAAGTCGTCGAATGTTGTGGCCCGGTTTTTTGTTGCCCTGGTAAATCTTGAAGACCAAACTTGAGTACTTTTTTTGTTGGGCTTGAGCTGATCATTGTTCTTTTCTGCAGCATGGCAGAAATGAAGTTAATGTGGAGTTGAAAAAGGAGGCTGAGTTTTTCGGGGACATTGTTATTGTGCCATTCATGGATAGCTATGATTTGGTTGTTCTTAAGACAATTGCCATATGCGAGTATGGGGTATGTCTAAGTGTTTTCGCTCTTCAAAATTTGCTACAATGAAGTTACTGTAAGACACTTCGTCACTATAATGAACTCGTCCTCTCAGGTCCATGTTGTATCCGCTAGATACATAATGAAGTGTGATGATGATACTTTTGTTAGACTTGATTCAGTAATGGCTGAAGTGAAGAAAATCCAGAATGGTGTAAGTCTCTATATAGGGAACATGAATTACCACCACAAGCCATTGCGCGATGGGAAATGGGCTGTTACTTATGAGGTAAACTTATATTTGATTCCACAATGATCTCATGTGCCCTTTCTCCTTCCGTTGATTGAATAATGAAAATGAAGATGCCCTGCGCACTATATTGCTGTAGTGAACTGTTCGATATATGGTATTTGGTCTGTCTGTGTAGCAAACAACATTAGCAATAGTCAAACATGTTTCCCTAGTACGGTCTAAATTGTTCATGAAGCCTTGAAATCAGGTAAAAATTGATTCGTGGTACTTCATGTCAAATTTACTGAATCTTTCTCCTGTTCAAAGAAATCTAATAAGGTTCATTTCTGGAAACTATATCACATATCACATAACTGAATGAGTTAATGTGCCAATGCTACATGGATTAACAATTAAATTAGCTCCGTGAGTTGAATTGTCTAACTAATTATGGTTCCCCATGGAACAAAAGGGGTTCTGTCAATCTGTTTCCTGTAAATGTTTTTGCACTATTTTACTTCTATAATTTGTCTTTTTTTTTGGTCTGGACAACTATGTGTGTTGACTTTTGTTTCATATGTACTGAGGAAGCTGTAGCCTTGAATCTTCTAAACTTCACTCTCAGTTTACAGCTTTTTTTCTTTAATCAATACCTTTTTTTTTCATTGTTAAAATTATGAGGCTATTTTGTGTTGCAAACACGTAGGACTGTTCTTGCTGAGATTGGCTTGCTCTACTACTGTTGGCTTTATTGCTTTGTTGAATTAGTCTGTACAAAGATAGATATCTTAGGGTCTTACCCTCAAATATGATTGTGCAACCTTTTATCTCGTAATAAAGCACTTTTATATCATACTTGTGCCAGTAATACAAAACTTAGCAAAGCATTATCCTCTACCTCACTTCACTCGTTGACTCAGTATATCAGCGGAAAAATTGATTGTTTACCGGAGATGCCCTTTTTATCCTTTCCTACTTCATTCTCTTACCAACTACCAAGTGCGCCTTCATGTTGCCTGTAGAGTGCTGGACTGCTCTGAAGTTCAACATTTAATGCATGCATTTTCTCATCTATGCTTATCTTCTGTGCTTTACAGGAATGGCCAGAAGAGGATTATCCCATCTATGCAAATGGTCCTGGATATGTTATATCCTCTGACATCGCAGATTCCATTCTATCAGAATTTTTAAACCATAAATTAAGGGTAAGCTCAGTTGATTGCTTCTGGTCTGCATTGCGTGACACTAATAGGGGCACATATGGTAACTTGTTATAAACAGTTTGCATTCTTCATTTACAATAACTGGGGACCTACCTGATCATTTTTCCTTTCAGAAGTTCATAAATAAACTACTTCCTCTGTCCCAAATTATAAGGCGTTTTGGCATTTCTAGATTCATAGCTTTTATTATGTATCTGAACATTATATATATATATATATATATATAGATAGATAGATAGATAGATAGATAGATAGATAGATAGATATAGATGCACAGCAAAAGTTATCAATCTAGAAAAGTCAAAACGTCTTATAATTTGGAACGGATGGAGTACCATTGATTACCGTATCACTAGATAGCTGGTACATGGGTTTGTAAGATGGGACATGATGCCGACAAGAGTCTAAATTTCATTTCTTGCTGTGCAGCTGTTCAAAATGGAGGATGTGAGCATGGGCATGTGGGTCGAGCGGTTCAACAACGCCAGATTTGTTAAATACGTCCACAGTGTCAAGTTTTGTCAATTCGGATGCATAGATGGTTATTACACTGCACACTACCAATCACCGAGGCAGATGTTGTGTTTGTGGGACAAGCTGCAGGCTGGAAAAGCCCAATGTTGCAATATGAGATAGCAACAATGGAGGTGGTGGTACTAGTAGGCCCATCCTTACTCACGAAGGAGTTGAGAACCTAGAAGCCTCGAGATTAACTTCAAGAATGTTGGCTGAAAATAAATTAAGCCCTCGAGATGACTAACAAATGGCCATTTGACAAATTTTTTTTGGTATAGCTGACCAGGTGGTGTTTCAGCTGGAAATGGAATCAAGGGGAATGGGCAGCAGCCTGTAACGCCTTTCCTGATTGAGCGTGCGGTGCTCTTCTTTTCTCAACGTATAGACGGAGTTCTGTGAGCAGTATGAGACCTGCTTGGGGACTTGATTTGTAAATGGGACGGGTAGAAAGCTTAGTTAAATAACTGTTACTTTTGGCACGATTGGCTGTGGTTGCAGTCATAGACAACCCAACTGGTACAGTTGAGCGATGTTGGTAGTGTACAAGTAATTTTGCTGTGCAACTTCTCTTAACATGGTCATAAGTTATGACTTGATTAGCAGGTGGACTTGTCACTATCTCACGACTTCGGCTCTGATTTTTTTGACATTTAACTGCAGTTATTACTCCTCTTCCAAATACATCCCATTCCAAATTAAAAATCGTTTTGTACGTGTCAAAGTAATTTTTTTGAACATAGAAGAATTCTCCATTACTCATTAACAGAGGCCATATCGTTAGCAAACCAGGACCTGGATACAACTTGGTATACAATCTCGAACCGAGATCAAACCCGGACTAAGACCAGCTCCGACAATAGCTAGCTCATGAGCAACAAAATCACATGAACGAGGCGTATGAATGACTACCCTGGAGGCAAAATTACAATTAAGTACCTGGCACACCTTCAGTTCAGCTGTGACATCTTGCACTTGTAAGATCACTTGCTTGCCTTTATGTACTTTAACTCCCAAATAAGACCGCTCACGGAACTGCGATCTAACTCCGACATGGATATAGCTCTTAACCTAATTTAGAGCAAATTCGACGTTTCATCTAATGCACACAAATTCTAGCAACATACACTAAGGGCCTGTTCGGTTCCTGAGGAACGGTGGCCTGGAACTAATCCAGCTCGGATTACGTGTCTAATTTGTATAAGCTTCCTTCAGCAAGAATGGTTCCTGACTTCGTTCCATGCCAAACGAACGAGCCCTAAGCCGGAAGAGGCCCAACCTAAGAAGCCTGCCGCGTAAACAATTTCGACTTCAGCCCACGGGCTGGAAACTGACGTTGCCGCAAGAAGAGTTGTAACCATAAAACCAAGACCCCAGAAACCCACGGGTTGGAAAACCAACACCAGACTGCTGCCATACAAGGCCAGAGACCCATTGCCCAGTGACGCCGCCGCGCCGACCTTGCCGTCGCGCGCTGCGCTAGCTTCTCTTCCTCCCTCCTCTTCCTTCCCCTCCACGTTGCCTCCGCCTCAATCCCCACCGGGCACCACCTCGATGAGCCGCCAGGATCACCACCAGCGGCCTCGGCCCACCCACGGATACGACCCTCGCGCCGCCGCCGCCGCGCAATTTTATGGCGCCGCCTCGATGCCGTTCCCCGACCCCGGCGCGGCGGCGCTGCACGGGATGAACCCCTACGGCTTCGCCCCTAACCCCTTCTTCAATAACTTCCTCTTCCAGAACCCCGCTGCCCTAGCTGCCTACCAACTCCAGCAGCAGCAGGCGCAGGTGCAGGCGCATCACTTCGCCTCCCATGCGTACCATCAAGCCCCTACCGGTAACGCCAAGCACCGCCCGATCAAACCCGACGCCGCTGCCAAACCTGCGCCGCCGGGCTCCCAGCCGCAGCAGCAGCCGCCACCGGGCAACCAGCAGGCCGTGCTCGACCGGGCGCAAGAGGCGGCGAGGAAGGCTCGGGAGGAGCTCGTGAAGGGCGGGGAGGGCGTCACGGCGTGGAAGGTAGCGCAGGCGGTGCTCGTGGCGCTCAAGGCTGACTCGTGGGACTCCCTCAGCGTCCAGCCCCAGGATGTGCCTCTCCTGCGGGACCTCTTCCTAATCGAGGGCAAGGTCAGCACTCAGTACCTGTAGTCTCAAATGGGATGTATGTCTAATCGTATTAGAAGTCACTACAACTCTCGGTGCAAAAATTAAGCTGTGGTACATGACCAAAGCTAGTTATCTTGGATATGAGCATAAGTAGCATCTAACAAAACTAGAATCATTAATAAGGGAGTAGTCAGTTGCTTTATCTTATCAACTATACTGGTCGATTTAGACAAGAGTAGTTTGATGTTTGCTCCTTTTCACAGAAAGTAAAGTGTGAGGGCTTAATTTTATTTCGCATGCAATTGCAATTCTTGCTTAGCTCCTTCCATTAGTCTCAAGTCATTACTATTCGGTAGAAATTTCTTGTTCATTCTGGTAATTTACTTTTGATGGGCATTATTTGGCGTTTTTCAGGTGAACGCATTCATACATTGCTATGTTGCAGCAAGAAAAATTGTAACGGTTTATGATCTGGAGGTTGAGATATGCAAGAATGAGGGGGTTGTACAATTTGAAGAGCTGGGTTTGGGACCTTTCCTTCAGCACCCGCTAGTTGCACATTATTTTTTAGTGCCGGCTGATTTGTCTGTGGTGCCTAAGCTTTCTAGTGAGGAGATTATCAATGTCCTGCTGAAATTTGTGGACAACTCTAAGAAAAGAATCACAATTGTAGATTTCTTGAATCATCTTGCAGAGAAAAAATCAGTCTCTGGGAAGGAAAAACTTGGTGTGCGGGTACAGAGCTTGGGGTAGGTACTTGTTTGGAAATCGTGGTGTTCTATGTATTATTATCTTTCCACATGTGATTTTAATATTGATTTTGGTGTGCTCCGCGTAATCTGAAACAGAAATGCCATTCTACTTTTACTAATTTAGGGAGGTTTTGTAGGTTGCATATTTCCTTACTACAACAGGCCAAGCAAACAGAAGTGTCTGCTGCGAAGCTTCTAGGAAATATGAGTGGATCTGGTAATAGTAGTCGGGAGAAGGATTTGTTGAAAAATGCAAGTTTCCGTACTCACAAGAAGGCTTTGGACAAGAGGTTCATTTCTTTAACTAATCGTATAAAGCAGTTACCAGGCATCAATAAGCATATCCATTTTGATTCAACCGATGATGAAACTAATGATGATACTGGTTCTGAGGATGGGAAATCTGATGACAATGAGAATAAGAATGATTGTTCTGTTCTTGACAAAAAGGATGGTGATAAGCGTGTGAATAGCTGCCCATATCCGTCAAAAACTGAAGAACTGGAAAGGCTTGGTTTGAAATCTGAAATTAATAGAAGGCCATCTTTAGAGAATAGCAAGCCAAAAGAGAGTGGAAAAAAAGGGAAAGTAAGTGAAAAAAGAAAGTTTGAAGAAATTGGGAGTCCTAGCTGTTCATGCAAGCAGCCTAAGAAGCAGCAAAAGTTGCAAAAGCATGAAGCATCACCGAATTGTTTCCTAAGTATAGGTAAGCTGGAGAATTTTGTAACAACATGGAAGGAAACATGTCGTGAGCATCCAGTTCAACAGGTACGTTTATTACTCATAATTGATAATTGAATCTATGTTTTCTTTAAGTAATTGTGAAGCTGAGTAATCTAATGAGGCTGCAAGCATACAACCTCCTTTTTCTCTATCGAATTGCTCTGTCTGGACTTATCCTGTTTCTAGAACTAATTTGATTGTACCTGTAACTGACGCAGGTTCTGGAAATGTTAGCAAATTACTATGGAAGAACACCAACAGAGAAGAAGAGAATAATAAATTTCTGCTCACAGTACCCAGGCATTGGCCTTCTCAACGTTGCTGTGAGTTGATTATCCTCCTTTATTCATTTGACTTGAATTGTGAATCTTTACTCTAGTTACTATCCATTAATGACCTTTGACATGCATTTCCTGCGTGATAATAACACACAAATTAGGAACTGGTTGGCCTGATTTTCGATTTCTCTAGTCATGTAGTTCCCTCGAGTAGTCTTATACTCTTATATGATTTGGACTTTTGTAGGCATGTTTGTTCACCTATATTCCTTTTTTTTTCTCTTGTGTTCCACGCCCCACTATTATACCTTTAGAACGAATGAAAAGATCTAGTCATTGAGCAGTTTAAAATAGGGCATGATATATGATGATTCTGTTTGGCTCGACATTCAAGCGATTATGTGATAGATCTTACGATTCAGGAAAAGTTCAAATGTTCACCTGTTTAGGTGTTTGATTGAAACCTCAGGTAGTAATGCATGTTTTGAATGTGATGCTATGAACAGGCCAGATTATAGTTATTCTAGGTATGTAGAGGTAGAAATTTGTTGACCATGCATATTCATTTTTTTAGTACATGAATTTTGCCCCTTCTTTTTGTTATTAATTGATTATTGATGTGTTGGATCAGTGTTACCATTTTGAATTCTTTCTTCAAACTTTGCTGCCACATGGACATGCAGGTTAAATCAATGGGATGTGGTCTGCTGGATAGCATTTACGATGTGATACAGCTTGCTAGTGAGAATAATGTATCTTCAAGCCCTCTTCATAACACCACCACCGAGGTTATGGAAATCGAGCCTCCAAGTAAAGAAAATACTGGTTCTACTGATGGAGCCCATAAGAAGAGTGAAGACAAGAGGACTGGACATAGTGTGTACTCTCTCTTCTCTCACTCATTTGGTTCAACTGCACTTGGTACTCATTTTCTGCTGAACCGCTGCTACAGACAAATGTCCCTTTTTCATATGTCCATTTGTTCATGCAGGTGTTGCTATTGATGATGTCATCAGGAGGATAACGGAATATATTGAATCCAACAGTAAAGTCTCTGGTGATGTGACTTTGCAAGTGAGGGCACTTAATGATTGTGAAACATGGTTAACTACTCAATTTTCAGCAAATCAATTCAGTGCTCTTGGCCATGGGACATTCCTTGAGTTTTTGGACAAACATTGTCATCAGTTCCGAACTGCTTTGAGTAGTTTCTTGAAGGAGGGTACTTGTAATTCTTCATCTCTGGAAGTTTCTGTACTGCAGCAGCAAATTGAATTTTTACTCTGTCAAGCTCAGAGTAATTGGCTGGAAGATGGTGGCTTTTCAGAGGATAGTTTCGTGATGCTTCTTAAAAGGCAATTTCCAACAATAAGCTTTAATATCGTGCAAGACAAATCTGGTGGAGGAGTTCCTGGCTTCATTGAGGGGCAGAAGAAAGACATACAAACAAATAGTTTAAAATTTTCCATCTCTTTGTTGGAGAAACGGTGGTCTGGAACTTTGCCAAGTAGACATGGGAATGTTGATGAACTGGGGAACAATGTCGCTGAACAATCTTATTATTGTGGTACAGTTTGCTCACGAGAGGCAATTAATTGTTTACTGAGGGCTCCTATGCTGTCTGATCTGCATCTTTGGTCCCATTGGGATTCGCTATTTGCTCCTACACTGGGCTCCTTTGTACATTGGTTGCTGAATACTGGTCCAATTCAAGAGCTAGCATGCATTGCGACCACAGACGGTAGGTTTATTAGAGTAGATTCATCAGCCACAGTTGACCAGTTTCTGGAAGCTATTATCCAACGCTCACCATTTCAAGTGGCAGTGAAACTGCTTTCACTGCTATACATTTACAATGGTTCTACGAGCACCCCAATGTCATTGCTAAAATGTTATGCACAGCGAGCAATAAAGCTCATAGTAGATAACAACAATGATTTGATGAATGCTAAATCTGAAAACAAAATATTTATGCCTGACGAGCCCCAAAACCTAAGTAGTGAAAGCTCTACTTGTTTTGCTGGTCAGTGTCAAGAAAGCTCTCAGGTGTCTTCTGCAAGATTGATCAAGTCTGATAGCTTGCCAAACTTTGATAACACAGTTCATTTGATGGCAAAATTTGTACTTGATTGTCTTGGTCATCTACCTCTGGAATTCCGTAGTCTTGCAGCAGACATACTATTGGCAGGATTTCGGGTTGTTACTAAGAACTGGCATGCAGTTATGTTGCATGAAGCCACTGAAAACGGGGAGCTTTGCATGCTTCATGATATTGGCTTGTCACTTGGAGTTGTAGAATGGGTTGAAGATTGCCGTAGGTTGTGTTTAACTGAAGAAGTTCATGTGCAGACAGAAATGCATTCTTCTGCCAAGCTTGCATCTGAGGGAGCCACACATGAAAATTCTAACATGCATATTTCTAGTGATGTTAATATGATGGATGAGAGAAGACAATTGTTTCCTGGCATAAATGATCGGGTTGGTATAGATAATGAAGACAATAAGATGTTAAATCCTGCTGGAACGGAGGCAGATATTGCAGAATTACATACTAGCAGAACTTCCAGGATGGAAGAAACAAATCTTGAAGAAGCATCTCTTGTTATTGAGACTATACGTCGTGAAGAGTTTGGTCTGGATCAGGAACTAAGTGACACTGAGAATAGCTTGTTAAAGAAGCAGCATGCTCGACTTGGCAGAGCATTGCATTGCCTTTCGCAAGAACTATATTCCCAGGATTCTCATCTACTTCTTGAGCTTGTAAGCTTGAACTATGCTCTTCCTTTACACTCAGATTTTTGTTGTGTGCTTGGAGGTTACATGGAAAGTTGAGAATATTTTTTTTTGCTGATCTATATATCAGGTACAGAACGCTGACGACAATACATATCCTGAGGATGTTGAACCAACATTAGCATTCATTCTCCAAGAGAATGGTATTGCTGTTCTAAACAATGAGAGGGGCTTCTCTGCTGAGAACATTAGTGCACTCTGTGATATTGGTAACTCGACAAAGAAAGGATCAAACCAGGGTTATATTGGAAATAAAGGCATTGGATTTAAATCAGTTTTCCGGGTAGGTATTAACACAATAATAACTTTTAAGTTACTATATATTGTCCACGGTTTCATAGATTCCCTATTGTATTGCTTATTATAGTTTGTTGGTACATACCCTGTATCTTGTGTGACTTTTGAGTTGTCTGGGGGAATGAATATACCAATTAATTTTGCCACTTATATGTTTTGTAGGTAACTGATGCTCCGGAGATCCATTCAAATGGTTTCCATGTGAAATTTGATATCACAGATGGCCAGATTGGTTTTGTGTTGCCAACTGCAGTTCCACCTTACAGTACCACTTCTTTTAGTAGAATGTTAGCCGTTGAAGATGACAAGGATGCCCATTCGTTGTGGAACACTTGCATTTTACTTCCCTTCAGATCAAAATTTAGGGAGGGCACTGGTATGTGCTCCATTGTGTCTTTGTTTTCAGATCTGCACCCATCTCTACTGCTGTTCCTTCATCGACTAAAATGTATCAAGTTTAAGAATTTGTTTGATGACACACTTCTGATTATGAGAAGGGAGGTTCTTGGTGATGGCATTGTGAGAATCTCGCATGGGATTGAGACAATGAGTTGGTTGGTGGTCAGTAAGAGGTTACAAGGTACCATTGTGCGGCATGATGTGTGCACCACAGAGATAGCTGTGGCATTTACTTTGCAGCAGACTGAGAAAGGAGACTATGAACCTTACTTGAAGCAGCAACCTGTGTTTGCTTTTCTTCCTCTAAGGAATTACGGTCTTAAATTCATTCTTCAAGGAGATTTTGTTTTACCATCTTCCAGAGAGGAAGTGGATGCAGATAGTGCATGGAACCAGTGGTTGTTGTCTGAATTCCCTTCTTTGTTTGTCAGTGCCCAAGAATCCTTTTGTGCTCTTCCCTGTTTTGAGAGGTGCCCTGGAAAAGCTGTCACAGCTTTCTTGAGTTTTATTCCTCTAGCAGGAGAGGTTCATGGATTCTTCAGCCAGCTTCCTCACTTGATCCTTTCCAAGTTGCGTCTGACCCGCTGCATGTTTTTGGATGGCTCTACTGTGCAATGGATCTATCCATGCAATACGCTTAGGGGTTGGGATGAACAAACTAAAATGCTATTGTCCGAAGGCTTACTTCATGAACATCTTGGTCTTGGTTACCTCTCAAAAGATATTGTTATATCTGATAATTTATCAAGGGCCCTAGGTATTCATGACTATGGACCAAACATTTTGCTAGATACCATCTCATCTATTTGCCGAATTGATGGTTGTATTGAGTCATTGGGCCTGGAATGGCTGTGTGCTTGGTTTGTTAACCTTTATCTGACGCTGCTGTCTCATTCTTCTCGAAATGTTTCCTCAGCAAGAAGCTTCGAAGATGTTCTTTTGGATAAAATTAGGAAAATACCATGCATCCCACTTTCAGATGGTTCATTTAGCTCTGTTTCAGATGGTCCTATATGGTTGCCATATGATGTTGTCAGTTCCATTCCTGAATGCAGAAGTAGCATTCAGAATTTTCCAGTTCTATATGGTAATCTTCGAACTGTAAGTCCAAATCTTCTCTCTGCATGCTGCAAAAATAAATACCTCATGGATGAAGTCAGAATAAATGATCTGGCAGACATGCTCCAAAAGATTGGGGTGCGAAAGTTGTCTGGGCATGACATTATTAAAAATCACATCATGGTGTCCTTGCGTAACAGTTTAGATGCTAATGTGGCTGATAGAATGATTAGAGAGTATTTGAGCTTTATTATGGTTCATCTTCAGTCTTCTTGCACCAGCTGTAACTTTGAAAAAGAAGGGATAGTGTCAGAACTACGGAAGAGTCCTATCTTCCTTACAAACCATGGATACAAGAGCCCAGCTGATGAACCAATTCACTTCAGTAAAGATTATGGAAATTCCGTGGACGTTAGCAGACTGCTTCAGAATGTAGAAATTAGTTGGATTGAACTTGATAGTAGCTATTTGATTCATCATGGTTCAGAGTCGTCATCATTTGAACGGGAAAAATGGAGGCGATTTTTTGAAGAGATGGGTGTGACTGATTTTGTGCAGGTAGTGAAAGTTGAAAAAAGTTTATCCCAAGTTGATTCTCTTCTAGCAAGAGGCCTTTCTCTAGCTGATGTATCTGCAAAACCCTGTACCGTGTATGACTGGGAGTCACCAGAATTATCTAGAATTTTATCGATATTTTCTTCAAAAAGATGCAGGGAAAATTGTATATATCTTCTGGAGGTTCTTGATAGATTCTGGGATGATTATTATAGTGCAAAATCTACAATCCTCACAGATGCTACACATTGTGGTGAAAACAGAGCAGTTGAGTCATCATTTATGAAGTGCATTCAAAGCTTCAAATGGATAGCATCAAGAATGGATGAGGATCTTCATTATCCAACAGATTTATTCTATGATTCTGAAAATGTCCGCTCTCTTTTTGGTAGTGTGGCTCCATATGCTGTACCACAGGTTGGTGAATCTGTCCTTACCAAACTGTTCTGGAATTTAACGGTTACCTCACCTTATTTCTTTTTGGGACAGGTATCTAGCAGTTCACTTAAGAAGGCCATTGGGTTCAAAACAGAGGTATCCTACTGTGATGCATTGATGGTCCTGAAGTATTGGATAACGTCAAAGGTCCCCTTTAGAGCAAGGTAACTACTAGGTTTCTCCATCTAGATTATACACTTATACTGTGTTCGAGAAATATATGAGCCACAAATTTGTTATGCAAATCCGAAGCATAATCACTTAGCCGTCCTTTTCTCCTTTTGCTTTTTGATTAATATATTAACCTTCCTTTTCTTCAGCATGAGCCAGATGTGCAAATTCTATACCTTCTTGTCAGAAGGTGTGGCGGACTCAAAGATTGACATTAAACGGGAGTTCATGTCATCTCCCTCTATATTTACACCACTACAGCGTCCTCGGGCAAGTGAGGTTATTCCTGGAAGGTTTTTGGCGCCAGAAAACCTCTATTGGCATGACCCAACAGGATGCTCTGAAATAACCGAGGATTTTGTTGCAACGAAAAACAGAAGCATGTTCCCAAGAAGAATGCTGTCTGCAGCCTATCCAAACCTTTGTGAATTTTTTACTCTGACATGTGGTGTACCAAAGGTTCCAACAACATCAAATTATGTTGAGATGCTGCTACAGCTGTCAACCATTGCATTGCCTTCACAGGCAGCAAACCATGTAAGTTGCTTTACTACATGAGTATATTTTATAGCTTACTTACTGTTAAGTATATACTCCCAGTTAATCACGATTTGAATTATCCTGAACTGAAGGTGCAAAAAAGTTTTGGCAGTTGTGTTTAGCAAGGTTATCTTTTTTAACTTACTATCTCTTGTTTTCATGTTATATATAGGTCTTTTGTGTATTTGTGAGATGGGCTAAGTATCTTCAGTCTGAAAGTGACAAGATGAATGATATATTGTACTTGAAAGAATCTCTTCAGAAATTAGAAACAACAATATTGCCCACCTCAGCCGATAAATGGGTCTCTCTACATTCTTCTTTTAGCCTTGTTTGCTGGGTAGATGATGATGAGTTGAAGCAACAGTTTATTAACTCTAGTGATGTTTACTTCATACAATTTGGTGACCTTTCTTCTGAGGATAAGCAAATGCTGTATGGAAGAGTTGCTTCTTTGATGAAAAGCTTAGGCATCCAAGCACTTTCGAAGGTAATAGACATCTTTTTATGGTATTCATGTTTTTCAATTTTTAGCCTGCTTCTCATATGCACGAAGAGCTATGTTAACAAGGTAAGTATAAGTTTATTCAAATTAAAATGGGAATAAACCCCATGAAAATGTAATTGGAGCTATTACTATAATTAAAGTCATTTTCCAAGACAATCTCTATAAAAGAAGTCATTATGGCCCAAGTGGGTTTTTGTCCACTTAAAATATTTTCTTCAATCAATCTCACCTATATATGGGGCTACTAATGGTAACGGGTGAGAAATGGAGAACTGTGGAGTTGGAAACTTGTGGCAAAGAAAATCTATATTGAAAGAAGTGTTTGTGCTCTAGCCATTTCCAATGCACCATTTTTTACCAATTCTATCTTGTTCCTTTTTTCTTGGGTTTAAAGAGTGGAAAAATGGCTGATCAGCATCAATTTATTCTATGCTATAATTATGACAATATCACTTCATCACAATAATGTAGAATTTGATAGCAGCACTTGTAGCAGAGGAATCGAGAACATGTGCCTAGTGCAGTGGTAGGGAAGCGGAAGTGTAACCTACAGGTCGGGAGTTCAACTCCCTGTTCTCACAAAAAAAGGCCACTCCTTGTGCTCTTTTCAGTGAAATACATGTTCCACTAATGGTTGCAGCATGATACGCGGCTGCAGGCGCGTCCTCGCCGTTTGTGGCACATCGCGAGGGGTTTGTGGCCTTTTCTCGACCGTGCGGAAGAGAATCTTCTACCTTTCCATCAATGCCTTGGGGGAGGTCTTACCCCAGGGGTCGAGTTTTTTTTAGCAGAGGAAATCAGCTTTCTCTGGACGAAGATTGTTCACTAGTCACTGAAAGTGTCAATGTCTATCATGAGCACCATGGTTGTTGGTTATACTAATCTGTTGGCTAGCTGCAGAAAGTTCTAGTTATGGCACAGTGCAAATAGACCACATCAATTTTATTTACTTATTTATTTATAGCAGAGTGGTGGTAAATTAAGAGTATGTGCTTATTTTACCAGTTAAGATGTTTCTTTTTTTATGTAATTGAATTAAAAACATTTTTCTCTTGCCTGGTTGCTTTGCAGTTTTCTTTTTCTTGTTTTCTCCTCCCTATTTTGTGTATAGTTGCTTGTTTAGTTTTTTTTAAAATATAAAATCTTACAGTGAGGGCCTCACTTGCTGTATTTACGGTTCAAAAAAAAAGTAAAAATATTGAGCACAAACAGGAGAAGTATGAAAATACATATTGAAGTAATTTTTTTATTGCTAAAGTTCCTTGTTTCTTATCACTCTTTCTACCTTTACGTAGGTTGTGTATCGTGAAGCAATATTTTATGGTACATCAGAGAACAGAGAAAAGGTTTCCTTGATTTGTTGGTTTTTGCCATACATGCAACGGTACATCTATAAGATGCATCGAGATACTTATATCAACTTCCAGAAAAACGACATCATGAAGATTAGCAATCTGCAAGTAGTAGTTGTTGACAAGTTATTCCACAAGTATGTACTGAGGGGACTTGAGAGTTCTTCTAAGAAAAGATTCAAATGTCATTGTCTTTTGCAGGTTAGTATCTATCGTTCGATTCTGCCATTAGCAAGTAATTACATAGTCAGATTATACAATGTCTTTTTTTTATAAATGTCTTCCATTCCAAATAGGCCCTTAAGTTGAAATCTCTTTCTTGGCTGTATTCATCAACTTGCCATCTGTACATAAGCTTCATACCACTATGTCGTTAACGCTTAAAATTGAAGTTTTGCTCTGCTTAATTTCTCTGCCTTCAGATTTTTTTGACATGTTACTGGTTTGCAGGGAGATACTCTATACGCAACACAAGATGCCGATTCACATTCAGTATTTTTGGAGCTTTCTAGAATTTTCTTTGATGGATCCCCTGATCTTCATTTTGCAAATTTTCTACACATGATCAAAACTATGGCAGAATCTGGCACCCATGCTGAGCAAATAGAGTCTTTTATCGTTAATAATCAGAATGTTCCTGAGTTACCTGAACATGAAGCTGTCTGGTCCTTCTCTTCCTTGTCTGCAGCCGACCAAGGTTCAGCCAACCAAGGTGGTGCTGATACCCAGGGAATTGATTTCCAACCTGTCCATGAATTCAGTGCTCCCAATCATCAGAAGGCAGCAGGAATGGTTTCAAGTTGGCCTCTTAACCATTGGAGAACAGCACCCATCTTCAGAACACCTCTCATAAACCAGCATGCAAGCATGCAAGAGGCAAAGGTGAATGATGCTGGACCTTCATCAAACTTAAACATGCCTGCTATGTATGGACACACCGAAGATAGTTTGCTTTCTGTTGATCTTGAAGGGGGTTGGATTATAGAAGAGAAACCAAGGACCGAAACTACATTGCTTGGAGATAGTTCAGCGGAAATCTTTGATGAGCCTCAGATGGCGATGTCTGCTGAACCTTTCAATGCACCTGCTTATTTGAACTTGGAGGAGGCTGGAAGTTCAAGCCCAACGGTCCATGTTGAGTTAACAAATTTCGATGAGAAACTGGCCAATCTTGCAGAAGACAAGAATCAGCGGCCTTCAGATGCAAGCCAGTTAAGAACAGGGAGGCTTGGTGAAGCACTGGTCGAGAAATATTTTGCCAAACAGCTAGGTTCCAACAATGTTAGGTGGGTGAACGACAAAATTGAAACCGGACTGCCTTATGATATTGTTATAACACACCCAGAGGGTTTCACAGAGTATGTGGAGGTTAAAACAACTGTATCTTCAAGAAAAGATTGGTTTGACGTCTCACCAAGGGAATGGCAGTTTGCCTTGGAGAAAGGGGATTTATTTAGCATTGCTCGTGTCATGTTAGGTACAAAGAAAGCAAGTATAGAAATGTTAAAAAACCCACACAAGCTTTATAAGCAGAAAGTATTGCGCCTTGGTCTCCTGATATCCAGACACATAATCTCGTCAGCAGCGACCTAGAAAAAAATGTCAGTTTTGTTGAGGCTAGCGCCGATGATCATTCTGCAGATTGTTATTACTCTGACTAATAATCAGTATAAAGGACTGGAGTGAGTATCTTCATCTTGATAAGTATTTGCTGATCCAAGTTAGCAGATTCTCCATTTTGGGGAGTGATGGGGTACAGCATGAGTGCAAGACTACATACAGTTCAGCCTGTCTATAGTAGCCTCCCCTTTTCTATATTCTAATAACTCGAGAAATCTTCTCCATTGGCAGCTCTCGAGTCAACCCATTCTGATATTTTTGTCACACAATGTAACTTTTTCCTTTTTTTTTTTTGGCCCTGAGACCTTGTCCCATATGTTGCTTGTGTAACTAAACATGAAGTTGTACAGAAATGGATGCAATTTGATTTTACCATGTGCTATTAACTAATGAGCAATACTAAAACCGTCGACTGTTCTGAAGGTGCCTGCGTGGAAACCCCGGATTTGTCGTAGCTACGTTTGAAGTTAACCGTTATCCCAATAAGTGATTCTCTATTATTTATTATTTATTTATAACACGAATTTGGAGGCTAAGGTCTGGCATGTCATTGGGCCATTTCTCTTCCAATTCCCAGCCGTATCCTACCGTCAAAGCATCTGCTAGATATAGATTATTGTATAGAGCAGAGGTGGATTTTGGGGGGAAAATAAATAAATTTCAGGATGGGGAGTATAGTACTTCTACAAGTTCACGAGGGATGTTACTTCTCTAAACGGGAAAGTTAAATGTGCCCATAAGGACATATGCTCCCACAACATCCACCACCAATATACACGTTGCGTGGTGGATGTTGTGGGAGCATATACCATTATCGGAAAAAAAAACCCGTCAGTGGTCAAGTCTCAAGAGGCATGCTGGTATTTTATCTTCGACAGCAGCCTAAGCATATGACACAATACGCCTTTTGGGTTTTGGTTTTCTTTGCTGCAACCACGTGTAGGGCGGAGGGTGGGGACACACCACGGCCGCGCCCATAGAGCCCCCTTAGTGCCCCCAAGAAATTCCAGCCATGGGAGCAAGGTTAGGAGGGTTTGAAGGTTGAAGACTATAGCAGGAAGGTGAAAGCGGCTGACGAATTACCTGCACAAACATGCTATGATGTCGCGCAAGTGCAATCATCGTCTCTTATTGTTTTTTTAGAAAACACTATGTACTTTCATATTGTTTTATTTAATTGCCACTAAAATTGTTAGACAAATAATATTTAAGTCTCTTTTCTTGAACTATCCGTATGGGTTTGAACTATTTATATTGGAGTTTATGGAAGTTTCAAATTTTCTTTGATTTTAATAGGAATTATATTTTAGATTTTATAATTGTTTAACGAATTGCATTTTTTTATAGGGCACACCCTTTAATAAAACTAGAAGCATGTCCCGCGCATTGCTACGGGAATTACCTATAATCTAGAATAAAATTAGACTACATATAATTACTTATATGAAGGGATGAAATATCATAATCATAAATTAAGGCACGCTAACGTAGGCATCTAAATGTATATTAGTGGATGATGTATCTCACTAACGTGTATATCATAATTATAGATGCTAGTGGGCTTTCATTGCATATGATAATGAACTACGGAGGTAGATAGTTTACATGTTAAGATACAACCTATAATAAAGTTTAGGATTATAATATATATAGATCCTAAATCCACCAACGATACATATACTACCCTCTATTTTCTTCTTTTTTTTGCGAAATTATCCCTTGTTATGACAGCAACCATAAGAAAAATGAACCATAGGAGGAATTTTAAATTGGAAAATAAATAAAAACTTAACTAAAACATTATAACAGATTCAAGATCTAATCATTCAAGAAATGCAACATACGTAAATCATATTTACACCAAGCTCATCATGTACTGGATACATGTTAATCCCCGTCTATGACCAAGAATATTCTGATTGGTTTCTATAGTGAACATTAACCGTTTCAACTCTTAACTACTATATGAGAAAGAAAAAAAAATATAGGATATAAATATGAGAGCAACGTACTCTTCTCTATTCTATCGATCCTATATCCGTCACATCCGAGGGCACGAGTTGGCAACCAATGCATAGGAAAGCTGTTCACAAGTGAGCGGGCCGGCATGGACCGACTATCGGCCCACCATCTCGAACGAGGAGGAGCAAGTGGCGCCGCGAGCACGCCGTGGTCCGTGGGCTTGCGCGCGTGCTGTTGCTGAAAGGCGAAGGCCCCGAGCGAACAGGCAAAAGAGAGGAAGCGCCGCCGCGGATCGGTGTCCGTGCCTCCGCGCTCTCTTCCGCCGGCGCAACTCCAGCCGCCGCGTGCCTCCTCTCTCCCTACCCGATGCGGGCCCTCGCGCGCACCGCGTCGTTGCTCCGCCGCGCCGCGGGATCCGCGCCCACTACGGCAGCGCTGCACCACCACCACCCGCCGCCGGACGTAGGCTCCTGCCTCGCGAAGGTCTGGACCCCCTCTCTTCCTGCCTCCCCTGTCCTCGGTGGTGCTGGCGCAGGCAGCGGTTCCAGCCTGCCTGTTAGAACATCTCGTAGATCACTTGTAGGATGGGAAATGTGCCTGCTTCAGGCTAGAGTTGTGGTTTAGGTGCAAGATTGCTCGGCCACTTGCCCGAATCCAGCTTGAAATGTAGTGATTTAGCAAACATCTGATGCTTTCACTCGACTGCAATTATGTTTAGTCTTGAGGATTATGCTAGTTGGCGTATTTACAAGGATTGCTTCATTCCAAGGTTCGTGAAGGGAAGCACAAAATAAAGTCCATTTTCAGCAATTACTGTCAGTATCATTGAAGAGGTTTCAATCTTCAGTGCTGATCCATTTTGGCATATATATGTGTTAATTTTGTGTCTGAGGCAGTGAGGCCTTGCTTGAGAAACATCTAGCAGCAATTTCGTTACATTAGTTGTGGTTGATTGGTTGTAGGTGGCGATCCTGTGTTTCAGTTGAACCTTAGTCCAATTGCTTCTTCCATTCATTCCGTTCCTTGTGCGCCAGTCCTGTGAATTTGCCTGTTTACCTGATGCTGCATTCAGTTACTGTTCAACAACAGTATACAGTTTTTAAGCCTTTGGATTTTAAATCTGGCTTTATTATCAACTTTTACATCTGAATAGATCTTGGATTAGTGGATTACATGTGATGACAGATGCTCTGCCTGCCCCACTCAAACTTGCTCTGCTCATTGTCTTTCTGTTACTGTTCTTGCTTTTGCTTTGTTCCACTCGAACTCTGTTTTATTTTGTTTCTGTTAACAGAAATGGGACAGCCTTGCTTTGAAAACATGTGCTGCAAAAGCTACAACTATTGCATCCTCCAATCTTCTGGAGCATTTTTTTTCATTAACTTATCTGGTAGGAAAGCATCAATCATATTTGTCATGTTAGCACTTTGGGGTATCAAGATTTTGACATAGAAGTTTTCTTATCTTTTTACCAAGATCTAGCTTATTACATCCAATCATCTGTTAAGAAGTCTATTTCATTGCTCCCCGTTTGAAAATGTGTTTTGGTATATTTGACTGCACGTGAGTTCTACATTGACTTTTGTTTTAAACAGTTATTCCATTTCCAGAATCTGCCAGGTTTCTTTTTCAATGGGTATTCTACTCTTTTGGCTCCACCAAGTGAAGTGCTGATTCCACCAGAACTTCTTTCTAGCAGGACTGTGTGGACACCAGATCGGGAGCTTGGTAAGTTCTCCCCCTATTAACTAGTTTCAGATCACCATTTTAGTGGCATTTCTCTCAATACTAGTCTTATCAATTTTCTTTTAACTACAAATAATCTATCATATGACTTACCATCTTATCTTAGGTCAGCTAAAGCTTTGCTTCCTGTTTGTTACCTAATCGGAACAAAATTTGACATGAATGAAACTTCACTTCACTTCTGCAGTATTGCAGTTATTTATGAATAATGCTGATTTTCTTTTGAATTAAGAATATGCTGAATTTTGATTCCTCTGACTTGTTATAATATTGCAGGGCAGTATGAAGACCTGGTAGCTAGGGTTACAAACTTCCATAATGAGGACAAGGGCTTCATGGTTTTGGATGGTGATGTTTTTGATGTTCCAATTAGGAAGGATATTGTTCACCGGGTAGTAAGGTGGCAGCTTGCTAAAAGACAGCAGGTGCACCAATAGGATCACTCGTTATATTTTTACGTGGTCTTCATTTATGGAATTCTTGGACTGATGTATATCATCTTGACAAAATGACAGTTCTGTCTTCTGTATTCTAATAATTTAGGCCCTTCTTTGTCTTTACAGGGGACACACTCAACTAAAACTATCAGTGAAGTGAGTGGCACTGGAAGAAAGCCTTACAAGCAAAAAGGAACTGGAAGAGCACGGCATGGCACACTGCGTGGTCCCCAGGTTTGTTATTATAACTGAATGAATAATGATACATATATTCATATTGAGATTGCTGGGAACATACTATCCAGTTTGGAGTTCAGTCAACTAAATGATGAACATAACAGTTCCGCGGTGGTGCAACCATGCATGGGCCTAAACCACGAAGCCATGCAATCAAGCTGCAGAAGAAAGTACGGCGGCTGGGGCTTAAGATTGCCTTGTCTGCTCGAACTGCAGAGGGGAAGGTATTTGCTATCTATTAAACTAGAAGAATACCCCGCGCGTTGTTGAGGGAATTGCAAATTAGTGGATTGCGTGGCATGATGACATGGACAACAAAATACTTATGTGTCTTGCTGACGTGGACATTATAATTGCATGGGAATAGTGGATTTTAATTGTGTGTAATAGTGCATTGCCTAGTTGGACATCTTGCATGTTGAGAGAAATAGGTGACTTGCTGACGTGGACATGGGCTAATGGATTTTAATTGTGTGTGATAGTAGATTGCCTAGTTGGATAGCTTGCATGGTGAGAGAAATAGGTAGTGGGGTTTTGCTTTATAAGAGTATAAGATGAATTAATATATATGTGCTTTGATGTGCTCACTTTTAGTTAATAACTATTATTAAAAAAAAGGGCGTACCCAGTGCAGAGAGCTAAGACTCTACCGCTTGCACCAGGCCCGCCCTTCTCAAAATTATTGTTAACAAATGAATTGCTATACTTAATCATGTTTAATAGTGTGCTCTACGAAGAAACATGCTTACTATTTTTTTTTTTAAAACTACACGACTTTGTTGCAATTTTATTTGTAAATGTTATAATTGAACTCCTTTTAATATCTTGACTTTCTAGATCCTCTTTAGTCTTTAGGATGGTAGGATAAGTTGCTAACCACATGTGTAATTATCTTGTAAATAACTATGAACTGATGAGTGTCGATTAATATCGTATTACGTGGTGCCCTGTGTCCTGTTGTCCCCATTGCTTATTTAAGCCTGAATTTATATATGAACAGGCTGTTCTCATAGATGGGGCGATTTAATGACATTATCATCAACTTAAATTCATAGGATCATGTTTTCACGACAGTTCATTGTTTGTTGCCTGATTTTACTGTGAGCTGACTATGTTTTCCTACCTTTCTGAACTGCATTGTTGTTTACTAAAATCTATTTAGTGGTATGAAAAAACATGTTTGTTTTACACAATGTTTTTTGGTGTGGCTCTTAGGCCATTCTCAGTGGAAGATTTCATATTGATGTTTCCAATAGTGCCACATGTGCAATAGTGTATTGAATTGATGAATGAAAAGGTCCAGTGTTTTAAGTTGTCGAATGTTGATTAATTGGACTGATGGATCCTATGACTCTAAATATGTCCACAGATTCGATTTGTTTGACCAGATTTCTAGTCGACCGACTAACCTCCGCTTAATCACGACCCTCTTCCACAAATCTCCATTGGCTCCCATTGCTGCAGGGTACCTGCATGCCTCCGCTCAGCGCAACCATTGCCGCAGGCTCAGTCCCGCAAGCAGCAAACAACACCGAATTCTACCGCTGCTCACCAGATCCCTTTTTCCATCCCGAAGATGAGCTCCTCCTCTAGTCCTCCAATCCTCCTCCATCTTCTTGCTGCTATGCTGCATGTGCATTTGATTTGTGCTCTGCACCTGTGCGACTCTGCCTTGCTCTAGCTCTACTGCTGCTGCTGCTGTTCTTGCCTCATGCTCTATGCTGCTGCTCTCTGCATATTGCTTACATACACTTATGTGGCTATGTGATGTATGTGCAGATGTTGATAAGCGGCCAACTGGCCATCAAACCTCACAAGAATCTGTGCCCTAGTGCTTTATACTACATGCTATATGGTATATCAGTCCTGGAATATACGGGCCGGCTATATGGACAATTATGACCGACTAGGCTTGACTAATCAGGCTGGTCAACAACTAATCGCAATTAGTCGTTTGGTCGGTCCCATGACGACTAGGGTCAACACGATTTGATAACATTGAAATGGTCCCTGCAATGCATTGTTTCATTTTGCTATTTCATAGGCAGCACATGCAAGAGACAAGTTGTATTGGAAACAGTGTAGACATAGTTTCATCTAGATGAAACTCATTTCATCTCTCTTTTCATTAATCCCTTGCACAAAAACCCGGGACCTTCCGGTCACAGGCGGTAAGACTCTACCGCTTACACCAGGCCCGCCCTTCCCCAGACCCCGCACAGTGCGGGAGCTCTCTGCACTGGGTACGCCCTTTTTCATTAATCCCTTGCCACATCATCAAAAAAGCTGACGTGACACTATATTTAATGAGAATGAAACTCCCATTAAGGGTGTATTCAATTGTTCATGTTTAGCATAGCCCTTACCTTTTACGGACTTAAATCACATTGACATCAACTTAGTTTACTAGGATCATGTTTTCACAAAAAGTTGAATTGTTATTTACTACCAAATATAAGTAAAAATTGACATTGTTTCCTTGCTTTCCCTGTCGAAAACAATATGGACATATGATAATATGTCTTTGTTTTATCAATGTTCTCCGACGTGGTTATAAAATTTTAGTGTGCACACATTCAATTTCTGTTGAACTTCTGTCCTGCAGGAAAAATACCTTATGAATTTCATTGTTTGCTTTAAAATTTACGGGTCTATGTTTTTTTTGTATAGCTCTTGGTCTTTGAGGACTTGGAAGTCCCTAGCCACAAGACAAAAAACATTGTGCAATACATTAGACAGATGGATGATACAAAGAAGGTTCTGTTGGTGGATGGAGGCGACATTGATAAGAAGCTAAAGCTGGCTACTCAAAACCTTCACTACGTTAATGTACTTCCTTCCATAGTAAGTTCTATGATTTCAGTACTTGAGGTTTGAGTAATCAAACTAAGTGTTATTTGCTTGGAATATCCTTTTCTGGTTAAAAGACCATTCTGCTTTCATGAAACGCAGGGCCTCAATGTTTACAGTATCCTCCAGCATGACACCCTTGTAATGACTCGGGCCGCTATCAACAGAATCGTTGAGCGGATGCATACCCCCATCAACCGCTAGCAAGGAGGGTTTTGGGTCAGACCACAGTTTGTTACAACCAGCAACTGTGCTTTCGTCCCCTGATGAAGCTCGAAGATTTCCAGCTGTCGTGGTGCTAACTCGGAGCTGCAACATGAACTGTTTATTTTCTGTCAACTGAAGGTGCCGAGGTAGGAGGTAAATGTTGGAGCCCTTCCGGCTTCTTGCTCGGACTATGGTGTCCTAGTTTTGTAATTCAAGAATAAGACACGTAGCTCATGATTATCATTGTCTTCTGGACGCACAAGAGGCATGCAAAAATGAATTTGCTCTACTACGTTCATTGCATTTCCGCGCTTTTAATCTGAGCCAACTTTCTATATCCCAATAAAAATTGTTGCCCGGACAGCAGGTATTGAACAGATGGTCGGCAAGAGTTGTTGTAATGGCGCAAATAGTAGCTTGTTTAAACTCAAGAATCAAGAAAATTTATGAGACAAGTGGGTCATACGTGAGTCAACTATTATACGGGTGAACTGATAGATGAGCTATAATTGTCTATACAGCCAGCAGCCAGCTTAGGGTTATATTAGCTTTCTCTTCGATCGAAAAAGTGGTTGATGGTAACAAATAGTTTAAAATTTTCCATCTAGAAACGGTGCCCTGTAACTTTGCCAATTATAGACGTGGGAATGTTGATGGACGGGGGAGCAATGTTGCTGAACAATCTTTTATCGTGCAACAGTTTGCACACGAGAGGCTCCTATGCTGTCTGATCTGCATCTTTGGTCCCATTGGGATTCGCTATTTTGCTTCCACGCTGGGCTCCTTTGCACATTGGTTGCTGTATAGTGGCCAACTCAAAGAGCGAGCATGCATTGCAACCACGGATAGTAAAATAAGAGATATTATACCAAACATTTTTCTAACAAAATGGTAAAATAAGGAGACGTTTTACTAATTTTTTTTTGGTAACAAGTGAAGGCAAAGCTACTCTATCAAGAAATCAAAACCCGAGCTTTAGCTGAAGCGAGAGCTCTACTAAATGGGTCATTTGTCGCGCGATGTGACCGAGTGAATTTGCTCGGCCACGTGGCTTGACGTTATTTTTAAAATATGATTTTCAAAAAAGGTTTAAAAAATTGCTGGACTGACAGACTATGCACCCATGCGGAACGCGGGGAGTAGGATCGTCGTGTCCCCTATTTCAAGAAGATAATGATATGATTAAGACGCCCGGATGGACGGTCACTTCCCACCTCTCACTCTTGCAATACTCGCGCCCCTCCCCATTATTATCCCTTCGCGTCCTGCCCCAAACCCGACGACACGGCCATCGCTGCTTCCCTGGTCGGCGGCGGCTCCTTCCTCCATCCTCCTCCCCCACCCCGGTGTCTCCTTTCCCTTTTCTGGCGTCCTCCTTCCCCCACCCCGGCGGCTCCTTCCCCTACCTTGCATCCTCCTCCCCCACCCCGGCGGCGCCCCTTCCCCTACCCCGGCGTCCTCACCCACTGGGGCGCCCAACACCCGCGAATCCGGTGGCCCTCTCCCCACCCCAGCGAGATCCAAGCAAGTCGCTGACCCTCTCCAACCCCGACCGGTGGCGCCCTCTCCAGATCCGGTAGCGTCTCCTCTCTCAACCGACGGCAGCGGGCATGGCATGGCAAGGGCGGTGGCAGCGCACCATCCATCCAACTGCGCCACATCGCAGATTGCCCACAGGTAGGTCATGGCCGCCAGGGCTGTGCGAATGTTCTGGATGTTTTTGAAGTGTGTTTCAAGTGTTTCGGACGTTTTAATTGTTTTATGCGGATGTTGCATACGGGATATTTCAATGATTGTACATGTATTTCAAGCGTCTATGTATGTTTTAATTTTTTGTTTATGCGGATGTTTTGAAAAAGTATCTTCTTTTATGTGTTGCAATGTTGCATCCGGATATTTGCAAAAATGATTGTACACACATGTTATATTGCAATTGTATGTCTACCCCAATGTTTCATGTTGCAAAGGTTTTTTTTGATGTTGCAAAAGTAGATCGTGGATGTTGTAAAAGTGGAAAGTGTTGCATGGCGACGCATGTCTCAAGTGTTTCATGTGTCTTCTTTATGTGATTTGCTGGTGGGTCTGGATATTTCATAAAATAGTAGTCGGGATAAAATTGATCCATGTTGCAAGTATGATATAATTTTCTTAAATTATATGTTACAAATGTTTCATTTTGTAACAAGGCACCGTGCAAAGTGCCTGGTGTTTGTAATAATCAAAGTATAAGTTCTTTATGATGTTGCAAGAAAAAGATGCAAGATTTCTTTGGTGGATGTTGCAAAGAATGGAATGGATCTGGGGTCTTTTGTGTTCATGGCTTTGTTGCTTCAAGTGGATGAGTCGTGCCAGGCGCGGACGCGGGGTGGGCGCGGGTCCTGTGACGGACTCGGTCCCGGTCCTGGACTCGCCGGAGGGCCGATGAGCGAGGGGCCGCGGCGGGAGAGGGATGCGCGTGCGCTGCCGTCATGCGGCGAGACAGGTGTGGGAGCCACGTCTGACCAAGCCAAGTTGTTCCCAATCCATCTCCTACGTCAACACAACAAACTAACGCGTATCATTGCATATTTGTGTTTTGTCACAAAAATCACCTGGAACGTGACATACCCAGTGTCATGGGCTTTGGGGCGAGGACGCGGGTGAGGCGGGATGCGACGCGAGCGGCACTGCGCATGAGAACCCCGCGTGCGGCCTCCCTCGCTGGCTTCATCACGTCGGTGGCGCCGCGTCCCGCGTGCGGCCTCCCTCGCTGGCTTCATCACGTCGGTGGCGCGTGGACCATAGCGTGTGTGTGTGCGCGCGCGCACAATCTGCGTCGATCCTCGTCCCTGTTTTCCCTTCCCGGCGTCGTCCAAACTTGCAATCTGCCGATCTCCCCTCTGACTTCCACTTCCACCCCTGCACTCCTGCCGTGTCCCGACGACAGTCCACAGGTGGGTAACAACCCGTACCTACGCATTTACGTGAAGAAAACACGAGAGAAGTTCAGGTTCCAGTCAGAGAAAGTTGAGGTTCGCCGGTAAGCTGACGAGCAAAATTGGGTGAAACAAAGCCCGTTACCGGAAGCCGTGGCGTCGGGCCGGGATCACGAACGCCGCGTGCGTTCCTGCCTGCCCCACCCACTGACCCACCCCACCCCCACACGGTGCCACCGCAACGGTCTGGTCTTTAAACATCGACACACCCAGACGCCCCATCAACTCCCAGCCCAGTCTTCCTTCCACTTCCACGACACCTCCCCGAAAAAGTCTTGCCCGCGCACGCGCACGCCTTCCCAAACGGCTACTTGACCGACTCTCCTCCCCCCCCCATTCCCTCGCCCTGCCGCCCCCGTTCGCGAACGGACCACCGCGCCATGCCGCCGAAGCGCGCGTGTCGCCTCGCGCTGCTGGCCGCGGCGGCGGCGTACCTCCTCTTCCTCCTCCTCTTCGAGCTGCCCTCCTTCGCCGTCTCCACCGCGTCGCCCCGCCACGCCCACGCCCAATCCCACGCCGCCACGCAACGCGCCCGCCGCCGCGAGCTCCTCCACGCCTCCTCCGCGCCGCTGCACGCGTCCTCCCCGCTCCGCCCCGTCAGGACTGCCCCGCTCGCCGTCTCCTCCATCCGCGTCAACCGCCGCGCCACCAACTCCTCCTCGTCTGCTGCCGCCACATCATCCATCGACGCCTCGGCCAACGCCGCCTTCGCCGCCGCGGCACCCCACCTCGCGCGCCTCCTCTCCGCTCCCGCCTCCCCGTCCTCATCCTCCTCCCCTTCGCCGTCCCCGTCCGCTGCCGCCTTGGTCTCCTGCCCCGCGACGGTCTCGGTGCCGAGGGACCGGCTCGCGAGCGGCGGGGGAGTCGCGGTGGACCTGCCGTGCGGGATGGCGGTGGGGTCGCGCCTCACGGTGGTGGCGCGGCCGCGGGCTGCGCGGGCGGAGGTAGCGGGAGGGAGGGACGGGGCCGCGCCGGTCATGATGTCGCAGTTCATGCTCGAGCTCCTGGGCACCAAGGCGGTGCAGGGGGAGGAGCCGCCCAGGATACTGCACTTCAACCCCAGGATCCGCGGGGACTTCAGCGGCCGCCCCGTCATCGAGCTCAACACTTGCTACCGGATGCAGTGGGCGCAGCCGCAGCGCTGCGAGGGGTGGGCGTCACGGCCGGACGACGACACTGGTGAGCTCCTCCGTTGCTAAGATTTTTTTTTCCTCGGCTATGCCTCGTTTTGTGTACTGTCGCGTCGTTGGGTAGGAAATTACCTTGAGGTGGTCTGAACCTGGCATAGTAGCTGTTTCCAGAATTCGCCCAAAAGATACAAGGATTCCTTTGTCTTCAAGAATGTAGTACCTTTGAAAGTCAGCTTGGTAAATTGTCTTCAAAGTAACTGAAGTTATATTATTGACTTTTCAGTTGACGGGGAATTGAAGTGTGACAAATGGATTCGTGATGATAACAACGAGACACAAGAATCACGGATGAAATTGTGGCTGAACCGTTTGATTGGTAGGCCGAATGTCAACTGGCCATACGCATTTGCAGAGGGCAAGCAATTTGTTCTAATCATAACAGCTGGTTTGGAAGGCTACCATGTCAATGTTGATGGCCGGCATGTTACATCGTTCCCTTACCGCACCGTGAGTTTGCTATGGAACTCTGTAAGGATTATTCTCAGCAATATCTCAACTTCTCAAGATTTAATTTTCAAATAATGTTGCTCAATATTTGGCTTGACAGGGCTACAATCTCGAGGATGCGACACGGTTGTCTTTGAAAGGAGACATTGACGTCGACTCCATTTTGGCTGGTTCTTTGCCCACTTCACCTCCTACTTCTGCAACAAAAAGTTATCTTGAGATGTCTGAACAGTGGAAGGCCTCACCCTTGCCAACTGAACCTGTTGAGATTTTTATTGGCATCCTGTCATCTGCTAACCATTTTGCTGAGCGTATGGCTGTTCGCAAGTCATGGATGATTTCGACCAGGAGATCATCTGATGTTGTTGCTCGCTTCTTTGTTGCTCTGGTAGATTTCTGCAGCTGAATTATTAGTTCGATAGCAATTTTCTGTTCAAATCTAATAAAGAAAACGCTTTGCAGAATGGAAGAAATGAGGTCAATGAAGAGCTGAAGAAGGAGGCAGATTACTTTGGGGACATTGTTATAGTTCCATTCATGGATAGCTATGATCTTGTTGTTCTAAAAACTATTGCCATTGTTGAGTATGGGGTGCGTAATTTGGATTTGTGTGAATGGATTTGTTTTAGTTCCTCTATCATGCATTAGTATGATTTGCATAATTCATCATGACATTGCAACTATTTTTCAGGTGAGGGTTGTTCCTGCAAAGCACATAATGAAATGTGACGATGATACATTTGTCAGAATTGAATCTGTATTGGATCAAGTAAACAAGGTCCAAAGGGGAAAGAGCATTTATGTGGGAAATATAAACTACTACCACAGACCCTTAAGATCTGGGAAATGGTCTGTCACATATGAGGTAAGACTCTATTTTCTCTACAGTTAAAGAGCTGTCACATGTGCATTATGCCGCTCCTTAAAAAGGATAAATGAAACCCTTTCAGATGACCATCCCTTAATGCTAGGTTACAGAATTAGCAAAAATTCAGTATGTTAGTTGTTAGGTCATCAGGTATGAGCCCTTTTTAGTCTCATGATGATATGTTAAGGAATTGAAAGCACTATTTCGGATAGTATGGTGACCCTATATGTTTCACACCAAACTTGATTTGTTACGTTCTTTTCGTCTTACATTTCATTTTGGTGATTAGTGGTTCAATACCACATTCATGCTACACAAATTTGATCTTTGTTTTTCTGTTCCTAACAGGAATGGCCAGAGGAAGTGTATCCTCCTTATGCTAATGGGCCTGGCTATGTCATTTCATCGGATATTGCTCAATATATTCTATCCGAGTTTGATAATAAGACATTAAGAGTAAGTACAGCAGTTATACCCTTTCTCTATCTCTAGTCATTGAATACAGCAATAGTGTTTTTTTTTATAATGGAGTCTGAATATGTGATTTCTAATGGCTATGTTTTTCATGACACAGCTATTCAAGATGGAAGATGTTAGTATGGGCATGTGGGTTGAGAAGTTCAATACTACTCGTCAGCCTGTAGAGTATTTGCATGATGTCAGGTTCTACCAGCCTGGCTGCTTTGATGGTTATTTCACCGCACACTACCAATCCCCACAACACATGATTTGTTTGTGGAGAAAGTTGCAAGCTGGGAGCGCTCAATGCTGCAACGTAAGATGACAATGGACAGCACAGTGATTAGTATAATGGAGAACAGATTGATCATCGAGATACAAAATGAGGATGAGTTTGAGGCACTTGTACTCTGCGGACCTTGTTACCATTCGTTCATTCTTTTGGTCAGTAGTTGATTCAGCTGCTGATGCTAACAATGGAGCCATGTTTGTAGACTGTCTCTGTACAAGTCAAATTTATTTGACCTATCTAGGGTAGGAGCCTGATGGTTTATGTGTATGTCATATTCTGAACTTTCTCTAGTCGCATATATATACTGTATCATATCTTCTTTGTTCGTTGACAGCTTGATAACTACTGGCTTTCAACTGTTCTCTCTCTCTCTCTCCCTCCCTCCCTCCCTCCCTCTCTCTCTCTCTCTCTCTCTCTCTTGATCTCGACGCGGGGACACCCTATTTCCATTCCAGCAAATGGAAATACATGAGTCCAGATAGAGCAGAAAAGGTGCAGGTTGAGACTAAACCCTATTTGGATCAATAGAGCTAATAGTTACCGCCTTCATTCTAAATTATAAGATGTTTTAACTAGATATATTGCTTTTACCATACATGTAGACATAGTTTATATATATATCTAAGTACATAGCAGAAAAACTATGTATATAGAAAAGCCAAAATGTCTCATAGTTTTGAATGGAGGGAGTAACTGCTAATGATTAGCTCCTTGGATCAAACAGAATGTCATGTATTGGGCGTAGTTAGGTTGCGGCAAAGCAAACGCATGAGCTTGCAAAGAGGCTCTCGGCCCAAGTCAACTGAAAGGGCCAACCAGACTACCAAGGTGAAGGAGGAAACACATCAGGGAGGATAGAACAGAACCAGAAACGCCAATCCATCTTCTACCTCTGAATCATTTGGGTAACAAGAAATGCAGTCATCTTCGATAATGGGCAAATCAATCTTAACAATTGGAGAAGACAGTTCAGGGAGGAACTTGGTCTTGTTTGTACAAAGGCCAAGCCAAGTAGACAGGCTGCTCTCACCAACTGGAAGGAGAATTACACTTAGTCTCTGTTTTCTTTCTTTTTGGGCCTTGTGGCCTTGTACTTTCTGTTTTTTTCTCCTGCTTTTCTGTTGCTCTTTCTTCTGTGTAACCTTTGTACAGTTCTTTCTTTAATTTATTTGAAAAGAAAAAAAATATATTAGGTAGGGGGCTCCCCTACCGATTCGGTCAAAAAAAAAATCTTCTACCTCTGAATCTTGTTCGAGAACCTCCATTGTTGTTCTTGCTTCCTATCCCTAATTCCTCTCAATCGGTCAATCCCTCTCCGATTCCTTACCAGTTACCTTGAGTTTGTATCCTAAACCATCAAGAATTGTTGGTAGCTATGTTGTGCCTGATGTGCACCGTATCGGACTAGACGGAGGGGAGTATTGTAACTCATTTGGGGTGTCGTCAACCCTCGTCCTTTGATTTGACTTCAAAAATCCAGGTATTTTAGGCACAACGAAACGTTTCACTTCAATCCCAGTCGTGTGATAGCATGAGAGCCTCGAGTGGTGTCCCGAGCAGGGGCTTGACTGGCCTGACTAATGCCTTAGATAGAGTCTTCATGAGCTAGTCAGCCTAAATCAACCTGTTCTCAAATAGTATTTAGTGCCTTGGTGAGAATATGCGAGATATATGTCATCGTCATTTAGGAAGCTAAAAATGCATTTTGACATACCTAAATGAGAACATGAGACAATAATGATACAATTTGCAAATTTAGTATAAAAATACATTCCCAAAGTATCAAAAACTTAGATGAGAACGAGAGCTTGGCCGGTTCGACTAATACATAGTTGGAGTCTTCATGAGCTAGTCGGCCTAGATCATCTCGTCCCCAAATTGTATTTAGTAAGCTCAAAATACATTTTGATAGACATAAATGAGAATATAGGACAATTATGATACAATTAGACATTTTTATAAAGTATCAAAAACTTAGATGAGAACGAGGGACAAAAAGAGCTAGTCGGCCTAGATCATCCTGTCCCCAAATTGTATTTAGTAAGCTCAAAATACATTTTGATAGACATAAATGAGAATATAGGACAATTATGATACAATTAGACATTTTTATAAAGTATCAAAAACTTAGATGAGAACGAGGGACAAAAAATTAAAAATGCTTGGTGCTAATATCTTGCACAGTATAATTTAACCGCTATGTATACATCTTTTTTAATTTAATTAATTTTTTATACATACAATATACATACTTTTTTTATACTTTATAACATATACATGTATACATAGCGTGCCTCCCTTCAAAGGCTTACGCTTTTGAATAAGGTGCGTTAAATCTGGTTTAAGGATACGGCTATTCGCCCACAGAAAACTTCCACGGGCTGTGCGGCATGTTCAATTCCCCGTCGCGCCCGTCCGTTTCCGCTTTCGAGTCTGGCGTCTCCCGGTCTCGGCTCCACTCCATTCCAGTGGGCGGCCGCCGCCGACCGAATCCAGGTGACCGACCACCCCGCGTCCACGCCTCTCCCTCCTGTACTCACTGACGCCGGCTCGCCGCCCCTTTTATTATTAAAAAAGTAACAAGAATATAAGAGACAGGCACGACCGCCTCCGCCGTGCTCTTCCATCCGTCCGCAACTCCCCATGGCGCCGCCGCTCGCACCGCCGCTCTGCTCCTTCTCGCCGCCCTCGTGCTCGCGCGGGTCGTCTCCCACGCCCACGGTGCCGGCGGCGGCGGCGGCTTCTACGATCCGGCGCGCGTCACCCAGCTCTCCTGGCGCCCCAGGTGAAACCGTGAAACGCCTTTGTGCCTGCCTCTACGGACTACGGCTGCGCGCGCGGCCTGCGCTTTCACATTCTTCGTGTGGCTGACAGTGTCAGGCGTGTGCGCTCTCGCAGGGCGTTCCTCTACAGCGGCTTCCTCTCGGACACCGAGTGCGACCACCTCATCAACCTGGTGGGTTGGGTTCCTCTCCCTCATCGATTCGCGAGTCGGCCTTTCTGCAGCCGCCGCTGAGGCTTTTCGTGGTGGCGAGGATGTTCCAGAGGCGCTCACAGAGTTTCCTTTTCGTTTTTGTGGGTTCAGGCGAAAGGCAGCATGGAGAAGTCGATGGTGGCGGATAACGACTCCGGGGAAAGCCTCATGAGCCAAGTGCGCACCAGCTCCGGCGCCTTCTTGGCCAAGCACGAGGTAATCACTCTGCACCGTGGTATTCTTCTTGCTCGATCAAGGGCAGAGTGCGTTCGTTCCAACTCTCTCCTCATCGCCATCGCAATGTGCACCTGCATTGGCACGGTAGAGACAAAGTGAGCAAGAAATGTTTCTTTGTACTGTAGTAATAACCGGCGATTAATTCACTATTGAACTGCTGGTTTAGCATGTGCTTGTTTAGTCCTTGTGTAAAAGACAGCTTATCTGCTGACAGTGGTCTTTCCTTGAGATCAAGCCATGATGACTAAATACTAGTACTTCTGCTAACTGATGATAACTAAAACAGGTGAATTTGTACAGTTGTCGACAAAATAAACCCCTTTCCTTGAAAAGATCAAAGTAGCTATTTATCTGACTGAAAAGATATTTATGGCCTTCGGCTTGGTGAAATATATACACCTACAGATGTGAACACTGATGTACTTCTTTCTGTTGACCCATCAAAGGATGAAATTGTCTCTGCAATTGAGAAACGCGTAGCTGCTTGGACATTTCTTCCGGAAGGTAATTTGCCCTGGGTCATTTGCCTCATGCCCTCATGGAGCTAGATGGACATTTTCTGACTGTTGAGGTTTCTCGTTCAGAAAACGCTGAATCAATGTAGGTTCTGCGCTATGAAATCGGTCAAAAGTATGATGCCCACTTTGATTATTTTCATGACAAAAATAACGTGAAGCGTGGCGGTCAGCGATTTGCAACTGTCCTTATGTACTTGACAGATGTCAAGAAGGGTGGAGAGACTGTATTTCCAAATGCTGAGGTACACACTTACTTCTGAGATTATTTTTCTGTCTTTTGAAAATAGAGCTGTGAGATTACTTCAGTTATTTGTTTTTGCAATTAGAGTGACTTATTTGATCAGGAACGTATGAATTCATTTGGCATGTTGCTTTCAGGGAAGCCATTTACAGTACAAGGATGAAACTTGGTCAGAGTGTTCAAGATCTGGCCTGGCAGGTATCTTTCAGCCTCTTACATATTAAGAGTAATACTTTTCCGAGCTGATCTGCCTCTATTGGCATTGACGATTTACTTCAGTAGCCCCAAACAAAGTTGTGCATTGTCCTATTCCCATGACAAGGCTGTGCTCTTCTCCTGCAGTGAAACCAAAAGAAGGAGACGCGCTACTGTTCTTTGGTCTTCATCTCAATGCAACAACTGATACAAGTAGTCTTCATGGGAGCTGCCCAGTAATTGAGGGTGAGAAGTGGTCTGCAACGAAATGGATTCACGTCAGATCATTCGATGATAATCCTCCAAATGCTATCGGGGAGTGACGGACGCGCCATGTTCCGATGACAACGAGTGATCTGCCCTAAATGTGGCTGCTACTATGGTTTTGGTGTTTCACTCTGCTGAGTTGTTACAGAGAAAGGTCTCCAAGGATACATGGTTGGCACCAAGGATACTCGGGTAATGAAAATGGATTTTGCCGCAAAAGTTGCGGGCTCGGGTGTGATGCTTGAACTTAAATTTCAACCGATCTGAATGTGAATTTCAATAGCAATTTTGGGGTATTAAGCCACTATTCTAATAAAGTGATAAGTTTGACCCCATCATGTGTACAAAGACAAAAACAAATCTTTGCTGAGTTGTAGATATAACGAATTACCCAAACTAAGTAATCAAAATGAACCAGGTCTCTGAGTAATACAGGAGTGATGTATTTTAGGCTTGACCTTTCCATGACCTGTAAATTGACCTGACAGCATCTTAACATAATAAAAGTAAAAAAATTCGGTCAGGACTTCGCAAACTCGTTCTGATGTGTTAAGTGTTACTGGCCATACAGCCTGACGGAACATCAAGATATTCCTTCGGTAATATCCTGCATAAGTTGGCCTGAACTATGAAGTCTTCAGAGTTCAGGTCCCAATTCATCCTGCCAAGGCCACACTGCAAAAACCTGTTTCTCAGAATTTTGCAGTTTCATGCCCAATAGTTCCAAGCAGGTCAAGAGGAAGTGCAAACTTTAATTTAGGTTATAAGCATGAATCATAGCACGCATTCAATTGAAGTCTTCTGATGCTGAGGAAAATTTAAGTAAAAATTAATGATGAAACAAGCAAAAAAAAAAGTAGTACTTAAGAATGCTGAAATTCTGGAACTAGAGTGTTTGGTCATCATCGTATTCCAAGTAACTTCACGAAAGAACGGCTCCAGCTTGCTTGCCATCGAGGCCAACAAGCTCAAGGGATCTGCAAGACCGCAACGGCTAGCCGCAAGCAACGCCGTGGAGGCACGGCGGAGAGGACTTGTCAAAAACGCTCCATCGCAGCCTAGTCGTATCGTACGGTTCCTAACTGGCCGAATTAGAGGGGTTGAACGATAGCTCAAGTTAATGCAGGAACCCGAATGGAAATATACAAAGTAACCTACTGCCGCTGGGCCCAACGACGTGTTCAGATTTTTTTAAAACAAACCAAACAGAAGAACTGCTGATTATCAAACGCTTCTTTTAATCCGCTTTTCCATCTATCTATATCTATATCTTTACACTTTTTTTAAGCTTATATCTTTACTCTTTATCTCTACGTACAGACGTCTGTTTTCTTTCTTTTTCGCCTCTCTTGTTTTCGTCCGTTCGTACCATTGTTTTTTCTTTTTCTTTTTTCCTATATATATGTTTGTTTCACATAAATATAAGAAACAAAGAATAAAGCAACAAAATAAAGATTTTCACCATCAAGTTTTTAACATAACTTTAATTAAAAAAGATTTATCTATGGCCGTTTGGATCCGTTCATTTCGATGAATTGAAATATACTTAATAAATTAGGCTGACTTGGAATTTGATATTCCACCACCTTCCAAAGTTCACGTTTGAGCCTATCTCAAATTCATAGGACGGGAGATGAAAATTGATGAGACCAATTGATATTTAAATGCCATAGTTAGCGTATCATTCAAACATACAGTATGAAGAGATGTTTGTGTTCAGAAATTCTTCAATTCAATAAGTTCATCGATATCAATGGTAACATTGATGTCTATCCTCCAAAAAACTACAGTCTTTCCTATACATTGTTACTCCATGTACAGTGTTTATTGAGTATCTTGAAAGTTGTGCATGCATATAAATAAAAAGAGCTAAAAGCAGGCAAGCAAAGTGAAAGAAGGACCTAAGGTGTCCATTGTCCGTGAATCTTATATTTGTGTTATTGTAAGTTATGTCTCACTGAGTCACCAGGTCATGGGTTTGAAGTAGCTTCTCTGCAGATTTTTGTGGGAGGAAGGTTTGCCTCGGTTTTTCTCTTCCCCAGACCCCACTTATGTGGGAGCATCCGCACTGGGTTTGCCCCTTTTAGATCACCATTATATGTTTCTATTTTGTAACTTATAACATACTCTTTAACTCGTTTCTCCTACGGTAGAAATACAACACATAAGTATCTCTCTTGTATAGCTAACAATATATACAAATATAATTCATATACAACCATATTAGCTTAATTAATATGTGTCTAAATTATAATTATTAAAATGAATTCAATTCCAAGGATCCAAACAGGGTTTATTAGAATATGATTCATACGATGATCCAACTAATCAAACTATAAACTAAAATCTAACAGTTTGTTGTTCAATCCAATATAAACAAATGTGCCTCCATGATATACACATGCACCACTGTAATCCCCGACGAGGACCACCACATGGAAAATAGGGAGAGGTCTTCCATCATACATCCTAGCAACTATCTCCTTCTCGATATTGAACTGTAATATCGTATAGATAGCCTAAAAATTAAAATTATGGTATATTTACGAGTAAATATTTTTGTGCTTTACATAGGAGAAAAAAGCTATCAAAAGAACATTCACGTTCTCGTTTTCTACTAATATTCGATAGCTTATTTTTCTTGTTGTAATGTATGTGCATATTTGCTTTATAAAAGAGAGAAGTGATTCTTTGGCCAATCTTTTTTTTTACTTTCTAAAGTGCCCTCGCATCCTTCATGTATCATATGTGACCCGTACAACACTACGTGTTTATACTAGTTAGAATAACTCGCATCCAGTGATGGTACAAAGTCTGATTCTAATACGTATTGGCTTTCGGTGCAACATACACGCATGTTTGCAAGGGAAGACTCTTCCCTCCCCTGGGATCCAGCTGGGCCCCTACGCCTCACTACCGCCATTCGTTAGAGCTCTCTTGCAAAGGTCTCAAGCTATTCTTCGGTGGCAACTGCCAAAGATATTGTTGATACAAAGATTCATCACACACCATAAGGAGAAAAATGCTTGGGTCGCAAATGGACCAAAGAATGCAGCGGATAACAGCACGCTTTCATGGAGAAACGTGGCAAGGTTTTCAAACAAACTAGCAAAAGATAGTGTGGCAGAACCACCAATTTAAACTAATCATGTGCATACTCGCCCACCTATGGACACTAAGCACGTGATGACTAACTTAAATCTGGTCATGGAGCCCACAATTCGGGAGAACTCAAAACCATTCATGTTTTCATAAATAATATTACAAGCTTCGGTTCACATTACGATACATGATCCAATTAATATTACAAATTTACAATACCAGTTCAGAGTGACAACGGAAGTTCAGAAATAAAATAGATGATTACAATATCAGTTCAATTCCTTTTTACATTATTGAAAGTTCAAACCATAACTTGAAACTTAACTACGACAAGGTCGTGACACCCTTCTCCGTTGGTTTTGACTTCCCGAATCCGGGTTTCTTGGGCGCTACGAAACGTTTCAGTCGGATCCTAGCTGAGTGATAACCCGGGGAGCCCCCAAGCCTTGAGTGGCCTTCTCGAGCAGGGGCTTGATCCATCTGACTAATGCCTTGGTCGTCAAACAGTTTACTGGCTTGGTGAGGATACTCGGGATACATGTCTTCTTCATTTAGGGAGCTTTTGATTGTCCTAAATGAGAACACGGACAATTGTGGTACAATTAGCAAGTTTCGTATAAAAAAGCAATTTTAGAGTATCAAAGAACCTGTTAGATGAGAATGAGGGATAAATTTTAAAATGTGGCACAATTAGCAAGCTTCTATACCTATATAATACTAAGGAGCCAAAATTTCATCATATTTTTTCGTTCACCTCGCTCTAACTACCAGGACAACAGAGAGTTTCTTATGTCTCACCCTTTTTTACTTCCCAAAGTATACTCACATCATCCGTGTCTTATATGTAACATGGACTCATGACCCTACGTATCTCATATGTGCAGTGGCGAATCTAGGATTTTACCTAAGGGTATGCTGCCTAAAAATTTTCATATACAATTCGGTAAATCTATTCTATCAATTCGGTAACAATTTTAGAATTTGCAATGTGATTTGGTATAGATGAACTGAGTAACACGATAACGTTTAAATTCAAGGATTAAGTTAAAACCATCCACTAAATACAATATAAATAGTTCAAAAGCCATACATATAATTCAAATATAGGCATAAAAATATTTTAAAAAATATAGGCATAAAATAGTACCGGAGACTTACAATGTTATTTTTCTGACCGGTTTATTCGACGATTTAAAGGGACATGATTGCCATCTTATTTCTTAACTTCATTTTCACTCAAACAATTGTAGAAAATATCCATTAGAAGTAGTAGCAGGAGCCGCCAACTTCGTTGCTGCATGCTTGAGAAAAAAAGAGATACAATATCCGAGTTTGTCTTCGTAACTACACAAATATTGAAAAACAAAAATGGCAAATAATTAAATAATATGTTATCTGTGATGTTAGGAAATAGCTACGAAAGCAGACGACAATTTTTATTAAAAGATGAAGAGAAGATGAGATCAAAGATGAAATCTTACCTTAGCGAAATAGCGAATCAAGACGATAAGCCTCTGCGACTGCCTAACTGAGACCGTGCAGACTGCCGACGTGTGAAATAGTCAATCGAGACGGACAGACGGCGAGCCTCCGATCCGGCACCCAGGCCGGGCAGAGGGAGGGAGGGCGGCAGGATCACCATCACGCCATCGCCGCGTCAGGCGTCAGGCGGCGTTTTCCGTGTTCTCTCCCGTCGACTCCAATCGAGTAGGGTCCAGTTTAGTTTGCAAAAAAATTTGTAAAATTTTTCACATTCCTCGTCACATCAAATCTTTAGACGCATGCATGAAGCATTAAATATAAATAAAAAATAAAACTAATTACACAGTTTAGACGAAATCCACGAGACAATCTTTTAAGCCTAATTAGACTATGATTGGACACTATTTACCAAATAACAATGAAAACGTTATAGTACTCATTTTGTAAAATTTTTTACATTTAAACAAGCCCT